TCATACCTAAGTTTGCTAATCTAAAAAGTTATTAAAGTGGTTGGCAATATCAAAGGGTTTTGTTATGAACAAGCCATCTGCCTCAATGAAGGATGGAGCCGAGTTTGCTTTTTTGCCTAGAATTTAATTTAAAGTACTCCAGAGCTTTTTACTATCATTCCCCACCCCCCATAAAAAAAAAGGTGGTTGTCCCACTGGCAATCATAAGTTGAATGCACCAATTTGTAAGTCGCTCTGGATAAGAGCGTCTGCTAAATTATGTAAATGTAAATGTAAATTCTTTATATCATTTATCTTTCTTCCATAGTTACGTGATTTCTCAATTTACTGTATGTTTGCCAGTCTGTTGCCTTGTCAGACCCTTTGCCTCATCCCTCTCTGTGATGCGTGATTTGAAGGAGTCAGGCGCAGGACGGTAAATCACAGTATTCAGAGTTTATTCCGTAATCCAGCGTAACTAGTCCAGTGCGCAAAACAGGCGCACTGGAACAAACCTGCACATGGGGAAAATACCCCGGCAATACAAAATAGTGAGCTCAACTGAGCTACTAATCCTCACAATGAACAATCACCCACAAGGACAAGGGGGGCAGAGGGAACACTTAAACACATACTAATGAGGGGAATATGAACCAGGTGTGTGTAATTGACAAGACAAGACAAATGGAATGATGAGATATGGAGCGGCCTGCCCGAACAAGGAGGGGAGGCAGCTTCGGAGGAAGTCGTGACAGGTTGTAACTTACGCGCTGGGAGGTGCCTAGGTGCCTTACTCTGGGCACACACGGAGCAGGAGGACACATACACCCTCACGTCCTTAGCCAAGATAGGCCACCAGTACTTTCCGGTCAGGCAGCACACTGTACGACCGATACCTGGGTGACCAGAGGAGGGTGACGTGTGTGCCCAGTAGATCAGATGGTCACGGATAAGAGCAGGCACATACTGCAGACCAGCTGGACACTGAGGTGGAGATGGCTCTGTGCGTAACGCCTGCTCTATATCCGCGTCCATCGCCCATACTACCGGCGCCACAATGCAGGAGGCCGGGAGTATGGGCTGTGACAATGCGTCTGCCTTCACGTTCTTCGTACCCGGGATGTATGACGTGTGAAATCAAACCGGGTGAAGAATAGGGCCCACCTGGCCTGGCGAGGATTCAACCTCCTCGCTGCCCGGATGTACTCCAGGTTACGGTGGTCCGTCCAGACGAGGAAAGGGTGTTTCGAGCCAATGCCGCCACACGGTCAGGGCCCGGACAACAGCCAACAGCTCCCGATCACCAACGTCGTAGTTCTGCTCCGCCGGGCTGAGCTTCTTAGAGAAGAAGCTTGGGTGGCATGCCCGAGTGTTGAGATAGGACAGCGCCTATCCCTACCTTGGATGCATCCACCTCCACTACGAACGATAGTGATGGATTGGGGTGGGCCAGTATGCCTTGGCATAAAGGTCATTTTCCAACAGTCGGGCCAGCACTTTGCGAACCAGGAACACATGCTCGGTGCACGTAGTGGAATACACCAGAATGTCATCGATGTAGACCACTACACCGCGACCAAGCATGTCCCGAAACACCTCGTTCACAAAGGACTGGAAGACGGATGGAGCATTCATCAAACCATAGGGCATCACTAGGTATTCATAATGCCCCGTGGTTGTGCTGAATGCTGTCTTCCACTCATCCCCCTCTCGGACACGCACCAGGTTGTGCGCACTCCGGAGATCTAATTTGGTGAAGAAGCGCGCCCCATGCATTGACTCAATCACTGAAGGAATGATGGGGAGAGGATAACTAAATCGTATAGTCTCCTTGTTCAGTGATCTATAATCAATGCAAGGGCGCAGATCGCCGTCTTTCTTCTTCACAAAAAAGAAACTTGAGGAGGCGGGTGAAGTGGAGGGACGTATAAACCCCTGGCACAGGGACTCAGTGACGTATGTTTCCATAACCTCAGTTTCAGCCTGTAACAGGGGATACACATGACTCCTGGGAGGCACAGCGTCTACCCGGAGGTTTATCGCGCAATCCCCCACCCGATGAGGTGGTAACTTGGTCGCCTGCGTTTTGTAAAATGTGTGCGCCAAATCGAGGTATTCGGGGGGAATGCGCACGGTGGAGGTACTGTCTGGACTTTCCACCTTGGTTGCACCAACGGAAACCCAGAGACACCTACCCTGACACTCTCACAACCACCCTGTGAGAACCCTCTGCGGCCATGAAAATGTGGGGTTGTGGAATGCTAACCAAGGGATACCTAGTACCACAGGGAAAGCAGGAGACTCAATGATATAAAACGTGACTTGCTCGCCATGGGACTCGTGGGTAACCATGGTGATTGGTGCGGTAACTTCCCTAACAAACCCGGACCCTAATGGTCGACTGTCAAGTGCTCTGATGGGGAGTAGAATGGATAGGGGAACCAATGAAATGCCTAGACTGTTTGAGAATGCCCTGTCCATAAAGTTCCCAGCTGCGCCTGAATCGACTAGTGCCTTACACTGGGGAACTACAATGTGATCAGGAAAGTGGATGGGTAGGGAACAGTGCGCAGCAGAGGGCTCTGAACAAGTGTGGGTGTTCGATACCTGGGGCTGACGACATCGTGCGGTGTAATGTCCCTTCGTGCCACCAGAGTGACACTGGCGCTGTCGTCCTCCGCTCTCTCGGATCGCGGCTCCACCCAGCTCCATCAACTCGTGATCCGAGTCAGCCGGGGTTGAAATGGGCAGGCCCCTTCCAGGACGTCCTCTAGCCGCCAGCAGGTTGTCCAAACGGATGGCCATGTCCACCAGTTGCGTGAAGGACAACATGGTGTCCCGGCAGGCTAGCTCCCTTCAGACGTCCTCCCGCAGATGGCACCGGAAGTGGTCGATAAGGGCCCGCTCGTTCCACCAGGACCCAGCTGCTAGAGTCCGAAACTCCAAGGCGAAGTCCTGCGCAGTCCTCATCCCCTGCCTCAGGTGGACCAGCCGCTCGCCCGCCTCTCGACCTTCGGGCGGGTGATCGAAGACAGCCCGAATGAGGCGAGCAATCTCCCCGCAGTTGTCCAACACGGCTCCTCCTTCGTTCCAGACCGCGTTGGTCAATTCATCATCTATCTATGGGGATTTGGCAGTTCTAACAGTCCGTTTCTTGATGGGTGCATGCCTATCAATAACTGGAAGAAGCAGTTTCATAAATGCTTCCAGTGCAGCGTCCGGATGTTCCTCATTACAAATATCAGACCAACCAATAATTTTCACATCTTCGACATAGGAATCATTGCAAAACCTCTTGTATGAATGTTTATTCACAATTTTAGGTCCAGTCTTTGGTCATGGAAGTAGTGTAGATATATCAGTGGGGAGTACAGTAGCAACAAATCATCAAACTCCAAAAGGGTGTTTGTAAAAATCAGTTTGTTCTTATTGATACCCTATTACAACTCTGGTTCAACTGTACAGTATGTTGTTAGACCTGGAATGTGTTGAGCAATGGATATGTGCAATGGAGAATGATCATGCCATCTTCCGATATACCCATGTGAGAGATGGATAACACTGTGCCCTGTTCTCTCTGTGTGTTTCCTTGTGCCCATCTGAATCCTGCCTGGGTCAAACTCTGCAGAGGGGCGATGTTGTGGTGCCTGTCCTGTGGGAGATGGCCTCAGCTGTGGGAACGTGTGCTTTGTCATGGGGCTCTGATTACATGCTCAATGCCTGGCTTGTGCGTAGCTCATCGTCTGGGCAATTGAAAGAAATGACAAACCTGATCCCTGGCCTGCCTCTATTTGTTCAATTCTAGGCTATTTGACAACTTGAGGAATTTAGTGATTTGCTGATTTCCGAGGCCTTTACCTCAGCTGACCCTTTGATGATCAATCAACTTAAATGTTATCTCAGTGTTTAAGTTCATAAAATCGACAGACCTGCACACAGTCTGTCAAAAGTGCAAGACTACTCTCTCTGTGTTTCTCGGGTGTCACGAAGTGTTATGTGTTGTTGTGAAGTTGTTGCTTCGCTTATGATCTTGTGCATTTTCAGGCAAAAGTATTTTCCCTCAGAGAGACTCTTGGTGATGGAAGAGATTTAGGAGATTGTTGTTTTGGGAGTTCCGCTTGTTACAAAACATTTCTACTGCTGTTTTTCTATTATATTCTAATTCTATGCCCTACTCAAAGCATTCTATAAGTAAGAAAAGGCAAGTAATATGGAATATGACACAGCAACAATTTAATTTGAATGGTAATAAGAGATTTACATTGTTTGATGGCTGACGAAGACAGCGTTTATTAATGCCTTGGTAATATAGGAAACAATTAAAAGGATCATACATACAAAACAAACACAATAATTAACCTCTTAATAATAATCAATATTTGAAAATTCACACCAAAGTAAGTAAGTGTTTTTATAATCATACTCAAAACATCAATTTTCTTAAATAGGGCAGAGAAGTGTCCACCTTGACCAATGTGTTATGTTAGCAAATATCTTCTCTCGCTTGATTAGACAGTTGAGATGCCTGTGAACAGTAATTATTTTGTGTGAAATGTTAAAAACGATTGTGTGAGTTGTACCAAGTTATTCCTCATTTAACCAAATATTATGTATTAAGGATAGAGAATGATTAACGGTTTTACATAGAAGGATTTACTGACAGATACTTTCAAGAATTACAGACAGACCGATGTTTCTACAAGTAACAAAATCTTGCTTTGGAAAGAAAATATGATTTGGTTCAATTGGCTGGTCTATATATGAAAATATACAAAGGTATCATTTATAGGATATGCCTCCCCTATTTGTTGCCCCTCATCCACTCAATCAGCACCTTTTCAACACACAGTCACTGCTCTCTCATAACTGCAACTGATCTCCTGTTCCTAATGTTAGGCCTATAGTATACTTCCAGAGTTTTATAAATAGGCTGTCTCGCTTTCTGTGCATCCCTTATGAAAGAGCTGACAGTTAGGGGAACTTTTTCATCAGTCTTTGGGTAACTAATGGGTTAGAGTATTTTAAGGCATGTATTTCCTGGCCTTCATACGGGGTATAATATGTATGTCTCTGACATCATTATGCTGAAGCAGCCAACACAAGTAGCGCTCTGTGCCCATGCCCCACCCACTGGTGAGGAGTGGAATGACCTGCCGCATGTTGATGTACCACTTGTAGGATTCCTCTGGCACAGCGTGATGTCTGAGGGCTTCTTGCACCATCTCGGGGTTGGAGTGACGCTCCCCAAGACCCAGAGTCTCCCCCAATCCCAAGAGGAGGTCCGATGCTTTTGCCTTGCGTCTGCCCGAGCCCTCCACATATGCTTGGTAGAAAGGTACTCCCAGGTGGTCCATCTCTGTCAGCCAAACAGCGCCTCCGTACTTCTCAATCAAGACCCGTTCTCCTTTGCGGGTTAACTTCCTGCCAAACTGGGGCTGGCCGTCCTGTACCCACTCCAAGCAGTCTGGTGAGGGCATCATAGGGATGGCCTTGTCCAGAGTGACTCTTGGGAGAGGGGTTCCTCCCTCCAACTTCTCCAGTAAATCCTGGACATGTGAAAGGGTCCCAGCGGAGTTCAGGATGATGTTGGAGTGTTTCTTCCGCATTGCATTGGTGAGATGAGCCAAGTATTCCTCAGCTATGTGCATGGCAGTATCCATGTCGCCTAGGAGCTCACACTCAACATGGTAGAACTGGTTAAGATGCGTGGCATCTGGATCTTCTCCCCGGAAACTTGGCGATACATAGTATGTCCCCGGCAAGTTCTCTTGGAATCGCAAGAAATACTCCAGCACAAATTGCATGGAGTCGGCCAAGTACACATTCTGCCCCAGCATGTTGACGTAAACGGGCTCTGAGTCTGATCCCAGGCCCATCGGAGAGGAGATTGTGTCAGTGGTGAGAGGAGTCAGGGCGTACGCGTACTGACAGGTGTTGTTGAAGTACTCCACAGTGCTGTGGAAGAGGGTATTTTGAATTTGAAAGAGATTGCGGTACCACTGGCTCTTGATGGCTAACATGGAGTGGCTCTGTGGGTCCTCCCAGGAACGAGGAGGCCTGCAAAGTGTGATTTTGGTGTGGATCTCCTTTAGAGATTCAGGGCTGGCGGGAGGGCCATCGGCAGATGAGACGTAGCCGGGGTATCTTTGGAAGTACTCTGGGAACACCTCAACAGGCTTGTCACCACGTGGAGGAACCAGAGGGATCAGCTTGACATGGGCATAATCAATCTCAAAGCCCTCAAAGATGAGTGCAACACCTCGAGCATGCATTCCTTCCTCCAGCAGTCCAGCTACCTTACGAGTGGCCAGGATCAGTGATGTGTAATCAGTCTCTTCCAGACTGAAAATGTTGCTGGACAGTGGTTTACGTGGCACTAGAACTGTGAGTCCAGGTGTGTTAGGGTAGGGAGTGAGGAAAGCCACATGATCACTGTCCTCCCACACCCGCCACTGTTGCTCCTCCCCACGAACGATACGGCAGAACAGTCCATTGTGGGAGGGATCTCCTAAGAAGTCATAGCACGATGGTGCGTTAGGCGTTGGCAGCCTGTCCCGAATCTTGGCCTGAACCTGGGTCAGATCTGCATCTTCCCAGCGCGGGCCACTCTTTGAGCTGCAATAACCTGGGTCATAGGGCTGAAAGTCCTCCTCCCCGGCCAGATGGGGGCGCCAGTTGGGTTCCAGGCCATGAAGTGGTAGCACTCGAATATGGGCCGGCTGCTTGGGATGTGGGTTAAATACTAGGGCGCAACGCTGTACCCCCAGTCGTTCGCATAGCAGGTTTGCAACAGCCCGTGCTCCTTGCAACAGTGCTAAGAAATCTGGCACAGCCAGCTGAAAGATGCTGCTTGGCCCACTCAGAGTCTTTCGGGTAAGGATGGTGGCACCTGGTGTCCAAGGGTTGGAGTGTAGCTGAGCAACCAGTTCGTCAGTCTCCCAGATCACATTGGAATAACTCTTCATGGGTCTCAGGACTTCGACACGTGCAATGCCACCAACCATGGATGCTACAAACAACACCCCAGCATTGGTTTCAACAACAGCATCGCCTTTGGCGTCTACAGCAATGATTCCAGCACAGCTGCCCTTCAAGTTCTCAGACATGACTTCTCGACACGCCGCCCTAAGGCTGTAGCCTTTATGATGGTAGAGACTGGCCACTTTTTGTGCAACTGTGTGCCTTAGAAACACATCTCCATCGCCAGAGCAGGTTACTGCAAGTTTGTCATCAGCAAATATACCTGCTCCCACTACTGCTGTGTCCCCAACTCGACCCTTCCATTTTCCCACCAACCCACCTGTGGACGTTGCAGCAGCTAACCTACACCATCGATCCAAAGCAACAGCTCCCACTGTCTGTGGATGGTTGTTCTTGGAGGCGTTGCCAGCACTGAGTTTTGCTATCAGTTCTCTGCGACGGACATCAGTTTGGAAGTACTCCGCCCTCATAGGCTTCTCACTCTCTTCTAAGCCTTGCAAAAACTCTTCTGCACCTTCCCCTACTAAGAGTGAGTGTGCACTCTTCTCCATGACCTGTCTTGCTGCTTTCACTGGGTTCTTCACACTCTGCAAACAAGCCACCGATCCAGAGTTCATCCCATTTCCATCTACTATGGTCGCCTCCATTTCATTTTTCCCATCTTTGTTGAAAACAGATCCCTTCCCGGCGTTGAACAGAAAGCAGTCCTCAAGAGCTTGCACACTCCGCTGCACTGCGTCAAGACTACTGCCTCCTTGTTGTAGCACTTGTGCTCCGAGGGTCAGGGCTGTCTGGAGAGCAAATTCAATGACACCTACCACCTTTGTATTCAGCATCATCTCCTCCCCAGCTCCACCATGGATCACCAGAGTGAAGTCTGGACTCATGTTGGAGGCAGAGTCAGAGGGAAGTGTTGACTTGGACATTGTCTTGCCTTGTTTTTGGCCTGCTGGACTGATGCTTTTGTGAATTTCCCCTTGGGCGGATCCATTCCTTCTTCCTGCTTGTCCTTCTTGCAGCAGACACTCCATGGCTCCCATTTGTCCGGCGACGGCATATCTGACAGCGAGAAGCATCACCAGCTTCAGATTTACTTTCAGGCTATCTTGAAGCTTCTCCAACACTGTGGCAAAGGTGCCTTTCCCATTGAGCACCATACGGACCCGGTCTCTCCTCCCCAGGTAGGTTACAGCCAGTTGGTCTTTAGCGTACACATTCCCTACAGCAAGCTCCACTCCCTCCATCAAATCCTTGCCAGTAAGGTAAACGGAGGGGCACCCAAAGGGGTCAAGAAACTTCTTGAGAGGGTTGTCTGGAGACATGGACCAGCGTAGGGCTGCCAGGTGAGGGCCCACACCATGTCCACTTTTAGTGGCTTTGATCAGGTTCTTGTGCTCCAGGAAAGCCACATGGAACAGACGGAGCAGTTCGTTCGTGTATCGAGGGTTGTTGTCTGGTCCGATGCAGGATGCCAAAGCACCGATGAGCTGGCAGGATTGCATGGTGAGGGAGTATGTCGGATCGCAGCGGCCATGCTTGTAGTGACGCATATGGGTAGGGGTTACAAGAATGTGGCTGGCAGCAGATTCCCCAAGAGTCTGCCTCAGGGAGAGCTGCAAGGAAAAGTTGATCCCAGGCATCGTACAGGCCCCTGTGACCCCGGAGGGTAGCAAAGACATCTGGGTAAGAGGGAACCTCAAATGTGATGATAGGATGAATTGCTTTAGTGGAGGACTTTGGGGGATCTGTTTTAGTTATACCCAGTAGTGGGAATGCTAGGGGGCTTGGGGAGGAGGAATCAGCCTTGTTAAGATAGGCTGACTCATTTCTTCCTGTGTTGGCCTGGACTAGGTCTACATTAAGAGACTCAGAGAGATACCACACAGTCTCAGCCACTAACCCAGCCACCATTCCATCCAGTGCACTGTGCTCGAACACCATCCCAGCTGTGCTGTCTTTGAATACCACCAGGTTCACCACCTGAAGAAAAAGTATAGAAAAATAGTTTTTAATTTACTTGTGATACTTGTGATGTTTGCTTGTGATGTTGACCTAAAGAGGAACCTAAGTTTTCAAGTATTGTGTCAGTGAGTTAATAAACTGAAGTTTGTTGGGTGCAATTACGGATGTCTGATGTGCAGTAATGATCCACTTACAATTTGATTCAATATTGAAAACTGATTTAACTCAATTATCTAGGGTATATTTTTGTCAACACAGAAATTCATGTTCCAGGTTTTAATGAGATGTATAATTTAAGACCATATTCTCATCCAGTAACCCGATGAATCCAGTTGATTCACTACAGCACCACTGTACTGTACTGTACTGTATTGTAGTAGTTGTCATCCACAATTATAGTACCACAAACATCACATACTGTACCTTGTCATAGTATCTCAGACAGGGCCCATCTCCTCCTCCCAATCTGACAGCGTTGAGGGTGTCTGCCAGATCAGCTGGTGGATTGCAGTCTTCCAGGGAGAGAGCCACCACAGCACTCTCCATCAACCCCAGTGAGGCGGCCGCTGCCCCTCCTGCTCTCAGGATCTCCTCCCTCACGGCACTCCAGGCTTGCCGCTGCAGGGCAGAGAGGCCGCAGATGGCAGAGGGCTCGTTGTTCTTGGCAGCTCTATGTTGGCTCATCACATGAGCCACTTGGCTGTAGATGTCAGGGAACGGTAGAGGGGACATAGGCCCTCCTGGGCTGGGACGCTGCAGTATGTTGACTGAAAATACCCCTCTAGCACAGATGACGATGGCATGGAGGCAGTCTGGGTACACCTGTAATACAAATAGCACATTAAGAAGTAGGAGATAATCACATTAGATTCAAATAAGACAAGGGAGTATGATGAACTCTTATCATTATCATCAGAGATGGTGTATGAAAACACCTCAAAACACTGAGTCAAAGTACTCTATTTATTTCCCAAAGCTTACTTTAATCTCATCTTGGGTCTTCCCAGGAATGCGGCTGGCAGCAAACACCTCTGATTGCTGTGTACGCTCAGTTGGCCCCTCACCCTCCACCAGCGAAGGCTCACTATACATCTTGGCCACAGCCCAGAGCAGAGCGGCAGCCCTCTCCAGTTGGGCGCACTCCTTGGCTCTGGAGGGGGGCAGGACAGCGGGGATGGCTGTCGTGGTGGGCAGGGGGTCGGTACATGAGAGCAGCCGGCTCTTGAATTGCTCTGTCACCCAGTTCTCTAGGCCAGAGGCGGTAGCCGCCAAGCACTTTTGGGCCTCCTGCAGGACCTCCCTCTGTTGGCTAAGGGTGTTTTTGTATTGAGGATAGAGCTCAGGGCTCAGGGTGAGCTGGAGCACACGGCCTGCCTCTTGTAAGGTGACATCCAGCTCTGGAATAGGGTAATTGAGAAGTGCCATCCTGTCCTGTCGATAGGGGGAAACCTAATGCAATGAGAGAGCGAGGATGCACAATCAATTGTGTCAGGTAATTTGCCCCGATATTCCCTCTCAACCATAGAATGCAAAAATGTAACATACTGTATTAACCTGTATGATTACAAAGACTGTAATTCAATCAGGCTATTCATGTAATCTAGGAGAAGAGCTCATTAGACACACAGAGGACTCTTTATGGATTAATTTGGCTGACGTGAATGGACAGTACCCTTAGTTTGTATGCCAGATCATCAGTAATACAACACCTTCTGTGAGGTCAATGTATCCTTTTGAGATACATTGTGACTTCTCCTTTATCACACTGTGTGTGAGAGTGGCTGCTCCCTCGTCCCTTAATAATAAGAATAGCATGGTGTTTGTATTGCCAGTTGTCATGGGAATATGTCTCATGCTGCATGACCATGTTGGGGTAATTAGATTTGTGCTGATTCGCCTAGTCAGTCTCTCTTTACAATGCTGCCTGTTTTTCATTCTTCTAAGGCCAGATTCAAGTTCAGCTATGCCTCTGACCTTGTGATTACCAGGCAGTTACTAATGACTATAACTAAATTAAATTACAATTGATAGGTTTTATGTAATACCACCTTCATAAACCGCATAGGTAATATACACTACCAGTCAAAAGTTTGGACACACCTACTCATTCAAGGGTTTTTCTTTATTTTTACTATTTTCTACATTGTAGAATAATAGTGAAGACATCAAAACTATGAAATAACACATATGGAATCATGTAGTAATCAAAAAAGTGTTAAACAAATCAAAATATATTTTATATTTGAGATTCTTCAAATAGCCACCCTTTGCCTTGATGACAGCTTTGCACACTCTTGGCATTCCATCAACCAGATTCATGAGGTCACCTGGAATGCATTTCAGTTAACAGGTGTGCCTTCTTAAAAGTTAATTTGTGGAATTTCTTTCCTTCTTAATGCGTTTGAGCCAATCAGTTGTGTTGTGACAAGGGAGGGGGGTATACAGAAGATAGACCTATTTGATAAAAGACCAAGTCCATATTATATCAAGAACAGCTCAAATAAGTAAAGAGAAACGACAGTCCATAATTACTCTTAAGACATGAAGGTCAGTCAATATGGAACATTTCAAGAACTTTGAAAGTTTCTTCAAGTGCAGTCACAAAAACCATCAAGCGCTATGATGAAACTGGCTCTCATGAGGACCGCCACAGGAATGGAAGACCCAGAGTTAGCTCTGCTGCAGAGGATAAGTTCATTAGAGTTACCAGCCTCAGAAATTGCAGCCCAAATAAATGCTTCACAGAGTTCAAGTCACAGACACATCTCAACATCAACTGTTCAGAGGGGACTGCGTGAATCAGGCCTTCATGGTCGAATTGCTGCAAAGAAATCACTACTAATGGACACCAATAAGAAGAAGAGACCTGCTTGGGCAAGAAACACGAGCAATGGACATTAGACCGGTGGAAATGTGTCCTTTGGTCTGGAGTCCAAATTTGAGATTTTTGGTTCCAACCGCCGTGTATTTCTGAGACGCGGTGTGGGTGAACGGATAATCTTTGCATGTGTAGTTCCCATCTTAAAGCATGGAGGAGGAGGTGTTATGGTGTGGGGGTGCTTTTCTGGTGACACTGTCTGTGATTTTATTATGAATTCAAGGCACACTTAACCAGCATGGCTACCACAGCATTCTGCAGCGATATGCCATCCTATCTGGTTTGGGCTTAGTGGGACTATCATTTGTTTTTCAACAGGACAATGACCCAACACACCTCCAGGCTGTGTAAGGGCTATTTTACCAAGAAGGAGCGTGATGGAGTGCTGCATCAGATGACCTGGCCTCCACAATCCCCCGACCTCAACCCAATTGAGATGGTTTGGGATGAGTCGGACCGCAGAGTGAAGGAAAAGCAGCCAACAAGTGCTCAGCATATGTGGGAACTCCTTCAAGACTGTTGGAAAAGCATTCCAGGTGAAGCTGGTTGAGAGAATGCCAAGAGTGTGCAAAGCTGTCATCAAGGCAAAGGGTGGCTATTTGAAGAATCTCAAATATAAAATATATTTGGATTTGTTTAACACTTTTTTGGTTACTACATGATTCCATATGTGTTATTTATAGTTTTGATGTCTTCACTATTATTCTATAGTGTAGAAAATAGTAAAAATATAGAAAAACCCTTGAATGAATAGGTGTATCCAAACTTTTGACTGGTACTGTATAAGTTCAGAAATACTGTCACGACTTCCTCCGAAGCTGCCTCCTCTCCTTGTTCGGGCAGGCTTGGGCGTTCGTCGTCACCGGCCTTCTAGCCACTGCCGCTCCATATCTCATCATTCCATTAGTTTTGTCTTGTCTATTACACACACCTGGTTCATATCCCCTCATTAGTATGTGTATAAGTGTTCCCTCTGCCCCCTTGTCCTTGTGGGTGATTGTTTATTGTGAGGAGATAGTAGCTCAGTTGAGCTCAGTGTATTTTGTATTGCCGGGGTATTTTCCCTGTGTGCCTGTTTGTTCCAGTGCGCCTGTTGTGCGCACTGGACTGGTTAACGCTGTATTACGGAATAAACTCTGTATACTTTGATTTCCCTGCTGCGCCTGACTCCTTCAAATCACGCATCACAAATACATTAAACTGTAGAATTTAAGTACCAAATTGTCATATTTACCATAAAATGAAATATTAACACAGTTGTGTCACTTTTGTCAAAATAGAGCTTCATTAAAACCAGTTAATTAGATGTCACAGAATACATTTTTGGGAGAACATGTGGTTATTTTGAATTTTCTCTCTTGTATTATTGAAATTAAGTTTGTACAATTAACTTTTTAATGTAATAGCAGCTCTCTTCAAGAGATCTGTTCAAAATCTCAGGGCAACAGAACCAAAAAGAGGATTACAATGTGTAAATTCCTCAAATGTGATTGTGACAACTCCACTGACAACCAATGCTATTATATTTTGCATGCCTAAAATACATGTAAAATAACAACACAGCTATTATATTAAAAACATTATCCCCTCTGCCTAAGGCAACTTTGTGTCATCAAAGTGCCTAAGATCAATTGCAATGATTTAGACAATAAATAGAGTAAATAATTTAAGTTTACATACATTGTCAGTGGTATGTCCTGAAGTCCCTACACCTCTCAACAGTATAAGCAAGGAGCCTGCCCTCCACTAAAGAATGACTCATTCAAGCGTGACTAACTTTAAAACATGCATTTCAAGACAGACCAATATACACATCTGGCTCAGCTTCGTATGTGAAAAACAATGCACATTCTAGGTACATAAAATACCACTATGATCAACAACACAAGCACTCACAGATACATGGCTCTGGAAATTACACTCTGTAATTAGGCTACACATGAGTTTATAAAGTTGTGTTATTCCTACAGCGATTGTTTCTACGTGTATAAGCTCATAAAATATTATTTATAAAAGTATAAACTGGTTTACCTCAATACCGAAAAGATATGCACGCTCCGTAAGATGCAGCAATAGTCAGTGAACAGCAAGTTTTGTTGTACTACACAAACAAGGGTTGGCTATAATATGTACCTAGTGATTCCAATTAAGGAATTACATTTCCTGTCTCAATAGATGCTGGGTGAATCTGAGGCAGCCTCTCACTGCAAATACTCTCCCTAATGGAATGGCCAATGTCAATGTTCAACAAATGTTGGAACTCTTTTTAAAGGTTTTTCAGGTGCATCATTAGTTTGATGCTCTATGCTCTATTTCACCCAAACAGTCATTGACAGACAGTTTTCCACATGACCTTTTAACCCTTGTGACTGAACATTAAATGCACTTTAACTGGTTTAGAAAATGTCTCCTGGTCTCCATAATTAGATTTGTAGCTACAGTAGAAAAAGAGGCATGAGGCTGAATTAGTAATGACTGTCTTATGCCGTCTCCAGTTACAATAGTCTTAACGATTTAACACAATTTAGACCATATTCAAAAAAACTTTTACAAATATCACTGCTGTCAGTAACTTGGTTACCTGTGAAGTTCAGTTAGGTAGACTAACATTGTCTGACTCACAAACATCAACCTTATGGCCATAGGGCAAAATGTAATGTGAGTATTCTGTGGTTTATTTACTAATACAGACCACCATACATTCAATCATGTGACGTAACTATAAAAGTATTTCCTTGGTGTTCTTGATTATGATCAATAGTATTCAATTGTGAAATATTGGAATAGCTCAGTGAATATTTTAGTTATCTCATCCCTATTTCAGTAAATTAGCAAATTGCCAAAAAATGTCCATATGTCCAGTCAAAGTGTCAAAGAAGTGTGATGAGCCTCCTGAGGTTTCACACCTATATTTATACTCTGATGAATGTTTTTTCTTATTGTGTACATAGTAAAACCCATGACTTGTTTCCTTTTCCCCTCCTTAGTGGTAACTGTTCGTAACATATGGCTCTGGTCAATGAAGTTTCACTTTCAAAACTGGTGCTGTTCCCAAAAGTCACTGACCACAACTAGCGGAAACACCCCTGACCTCAGCTGCCGAAACCCCCATTACCTCTGACCTCAGCTGCACGAGACCTTTTAGATAAGGCATGAAATAATACAATACTCCTTTCATCAGTCTTTCTATTTGGGGTTGTGCTCTTGAAAAGGCATCTAGCCGAAACGTGGTGCATTGGCTATGTTTCTGTTTGTTTAAGATTATGATTTTTTGAAAGAATATAATTAATTGTTAGCCTTTGGATAAGATTGATGAAAACGCAGTTTATTGGACCTTCTCATTTTCACTGAAGGTAATTTAGCAGACAAAGTACTCAGACATTCCTAATGGAGACAAACAGTATGTGATTGTTTGCGAGCTGCTTAGGTAAGCTAGTTGTGAGATTTCACCACTTAATGGCATTTGGTTCCCCAATTTCAGAAACCACTTTGCTTAGTTATGTGTAATTCCTAAGTAAGTGTTTCTTTAATTACACAACAATAACAATGTAGATATTTATGATAACAATAAAAACAACTTTTTATATTTTGTTATTAGTTATATTATTTGATATTGAATACTGCACTGTTGGGTAGGGCTTGCAAGTTAAGTATTTCACTGTACTTGGGCATGTGACAAATGAAAGTTGAAACTACCAGCAACACGGTGCCCAGCCTGTATAAGACACAATATCAAGTGTCAAGTATGTGTGCACAAAACACAAAACAAAAATGTTACATTAAACAAATTAAATGCATTTAACACTTAAATGCATAATTAGCAATTATAACAAAGTAGAGTTTTCACCTTGTCTCTCTACACAAACAGTACACTTCTCCTTCTCCACCCCAGGAAAATAAATTGTGCAATGTCAAAAACTCGCTTTGTGAAAAACTTCAGCCTGTGTTCATCCTGTGGTCGAACACCTCTTGAGTGATCATCAACAATTTTACCAAACAGAACATGTCTCAAGTCATCATAAAGAGGGCAATAAAACACAAAATGGGCTTCACGTTCTATTAACCCAAGATCACACAATACACACATCTTTCCTCTTCAGGGACTCTGTTGAATCTACCCATCTCAAGTGCCAGAGGGATCTTAGCTGCTCACAAACTGACCAATACAGTACATATTGTCAAAGTTGCGTTAATTCAAATCTGGTATTAGGAACAAAAGAGGTCAGCACGACTTCTAAGATATACTAGTTATTTTAATTAATGCAAAAACCTTCAATGGTAAATATGATGTTTCGTAATACGAAATATAGGGCAACTAGTTATGTTAGGTCCCTCCAATTGCAAAGAGTTCCCCACCTTCGGTGTTAGAGACTGATGATTACACTCTCCGTTGGTACGCTGTCCCTCTTCTGTACAGCATAATTATCATAATGAGTGAGAAACCAGCTCCCTTACACCATTGGAAGGTTCACAGATCACAAAGAACCAGTATATTCTAGTATTTGGAGACACAAATCCTTATCTCATTTTACCCCCTAAAACAGCTCTTCACATCAATCACAGCCTGCCAGGTGACACAACCTACATTAGCCCAGTCAAGAATGCATTCTTTCTAAGTTAGTCATCCCATCAATTATACAAATAATACATCTCTCACAATATTAATATGAGTTTATTTTATTATATGTGTTACATTTTTCCTTGTATTGTCCTTGTAATCAGTGATGAAGCAAGGTGATAAAACAATTTCGCAAGTTGTGATCAATAAAGTATTTACTCTATTTCCACCCTAGCCTCTAGCCTATTTCCAAATTTGTAAGTCGATCTGGATAAGAGCGTCTCCCTAAATGACGTAAATGTAAATGTAGTAACTCTACTCATATAGTCCTATTTTTTACATTGGATAACATCATATTCAAATATGTTTTCTTATAAGATTTCTTTATAAAATGCTTTATTTCCTTCATAGAAAGATGTATAGGTTTGTAGCTAGAAAAGATTGAGTGCTGTAATGTCCCGTTTCCCCAACCATAAAAATAGTTCAAACCGGCGTAGTAAAACCGGACGTAGTCCCAAAAAATTAGTACCAATAGCTTTCGGTCTGTCATTCTGCCCGCAGCGTGAGGGGGAACTGTGGTCTCTTGTTCTTATAAGAAAAAAAATCTTTGAAATATTTTTCCTTCAAAGGTAATTTCCCAGCGTTCTGTCTTCACAATGAAAAATGTTGTTCCTGTCAATATCTTATATTTTTATTCAATGACTGTGAGAATCACTCCTCAATGTGTAAGGTCAGCATCGTTCAGAGGCTACTGTAGCAAGCTAACAACGTTATCGCGCAAGCTAGGCTAACTAAGTTATTTTTTTATAACTCTTATCTACAGCCAATCAAAGGGAACAATGCTCATGATTACTGGTTTTGCATATTCAAGTGATGCAGTAATTTTTAATCACATTTTATCGTATAGTCTACACGGACCAATCGGGCACAACACGGCTAACGTTTTTGCTAAGCTAAGGTCATGATGTTGCTGGATGAGTGCTACTAACTATAGGCTACCCTAATGTCAGATGATAAGGGGTTAGCTGCTAACGTTAGTTCTTGTATCCTTGGTGTATCTTTATGTGTTAATCTGGTCGACGCGGCTGCTGTAGCTGACTAACTCTCTCACGATTTCGAGTTTGAGTTTACCCAGCTAGGTTTTGGATGCATGACTAACAGACCCGTCAACTAGCTACTGTTAGCTAGTTAGCAATGGACTTTGTACTGCTGCTCTGTAGTGGCCAATACATCGTTATACCTGACACGATTTCCAGGTCACGCAAAAAATGACCATTCAGTGACACCAGTCTCACTCCTCATCTTATCAGCGTCCAAGGGTTCTTAGCTAAATATGCCCAATCGTATCAAGAGTTAGTTACTGTTCAGAAAATTATTTTGGTTTATTGAGCCTAATTCGTCCATCGTTTTGGCCCAAATCTGCTACACACAATGGCGGATGCCTGGTGACAGGGTGTTTCGAAAATCAAGCATTTGAATACTGGGTAGTGTGTTACTGATGGTAGGCTTTGTTACTTTGGTCCCAGCTCTCTGCAGGTCATTCACTAGGTCCCCCGTGTGGTTCTGGGATTTTTGCTCACTGTTCTTGTGATCATTTTGACCCCACGGGGTGAGATCTTGCGTGGAGCCCCAGATCGAGGGAGATTATCAGTGGTCTTGTATGTCTTCCATTTCCTAATAATTGCTCCACAGTTGATTTCTTCAAACCAAGCTGCTTACCTATTGCAGATTCAGTCTTCCCAGCCTGGTGCAGGTCTACAATTTTGTTTCTGGTGTCCTTTGACAGCTCTTTGGTCTTGACCATAGTGGAGTTTGGAGTGTGGACTGTTTGAGGTTGTGGACAGGTGTCTTTTATACTGATAACAAGTTCAAACAGGTGCCATTAATACAGGTAACGAGTGGAGGACAGAGGAGCCTCTTAAAGAAGAAGTTACAGGTCTGTGAGAGCCAGAAATCTTGCTTGTTTGTAGGTGACCAAATACTTATTTTCCACCATAATTTGCAAATAAATTCATTAAAAATCCTACAATGTGATTTTCTGGATTTTTTTTTCTCAATTTGTCTGTCATAGTTGACGTGTACCTATGATGAAAATGACAGGCCTCTCTCATCTTTTTAAGTGGGAGAACTTGCACAATTGGTGGCTGACTAAATACTTTTTTTCCCCACTGTATATACGGGCTCTTTGAAATACCTCGCAGGGCACTTCAGAGAACTAATCCATTGTTCTAGGTTCTTGCTCAAATACTCTGACAGAGAGAGTTTCCCACCTCTCTGCTGGCCAATCAGAGTAGAGACTTGAGCGTGGTTTAGACTTACTCAGCCTATCCGTTGGCGTACCGGCTGTTCCCCGCCTCTTCTGTTACCAGGCATACGTTTATCATAACAACCTGTCATAGTGAGAAGAGCCAGCTCCCTTAGACACCATTCCTACGTCCAAGGAAGGTTCACAGATCACAAAGAACCAGTATATTCTAGTACAGTGGCGGCTCCTGAAAAAATTCTCAGGAGGGGCAATTTTTCTGATGATTTAGGTGACCTACACACATTTTAAAAAAGATATGTCCAGCAACAACATGAAGACAGGGGCAGCATATAAGTCAATACCAGAAGCATTTATTGACTGATCTGGGGAGATGGATTCCAGTTTCTGTGACAGATTATAAATAATCTCTGATGCCTTTGTTATATTAGCTTTTGGTTGAATGTACTGTCGTAGTAAATATATAATGTTATAGCTTGGTCTGACTAAAATCTTGGGCATGACCCATTTTGTGTTGGGCCTTTGTATTCAATACAATGAACAAGAGTCCTATCTTGTCAGCCTTGTCAGCAGGTGGCTAAGGATAACACCCACGCCATAGGTCTCTCAGTTCTTCCAACTCACGAGTTCTTGCCCTGAGGACACACACACACACACCCACACACACACACACACACACACACACATCATCACTGATAAACACACACACACACACACATCATCACTGATAACAAACACACACACACACACACACACACACACACACACACACACACACACTGATAACAAACACACACACCACACACACAAATCCTCTTCTCTTAGGCTGAACATCTGAAGACAGAGAACCCGACTCAGAGCCAATGCAACAGTGACACTAGCCTGGAGGTGACCTCGCCCAACTCATCAGGACCAATCAGAAGATCAGAACTACTAGATTCAACCTACTTCATTTTATTGTATAAAATGTCAGCACACAATGTTTAGGGGCTCTTCTGATAAACTCCCTACGAGTTTGACGAACGGGTCCGTGCACGCGATTCCAGATATCTTTACCTCTGAATAAACTGCCTTATATTATACAATTATCCACCTTGTCCAAAAGTCTCTACTTGGTCTCCGTTCTCCAGTAAACTTGTTTTATCAACAATAGTAAGGTTCAATGACACAGAAAGCAGTTCAATGTCGGGGTACAGAGTCGCTCTCTTACCAGGATCGCGGTCCGCTCTGACCAGGGTGAAGCCGGCCGGCTCCACCTCTCTGTCCGGGACTCTGTCATCCAGCCAAGTCTCCCAGCTGTATTGGGATTCCGCTGCCAGCAGCGTTTTCATTATTTAGTCCGTTCGTAGCGGGTATGTACACGATCAACAAGATCAGTCCAAAACCGAAGATCAGTCCAAAGCAGAATGTTTGCAGAATGTTTGTAAACTAAGTCTACAAATTAAAAACATAAAATAACGCCACACTACAGGTCGCAACAGAGACGCTGCTAGCCGCCATTGTCTTAGTTACGTTCAACGTTACGTCACGTATGACGAAAGCGCGTAAGTGCAAGCCCACAGACACCCATAGAGAATGTATTGAAAGCTTTGAAATGTGAAAAAAATAGATTTTACATGACAGGCTATGAGAGACTTCTGGGCGATTTTCAACCTGACTGAAATCGCCCAAAAAACGGGCGGGGCCATTTGAAGCACGACTTTAGCCTGATTTGACATTTAGTGGCTGGCAGATCAGACGTGAACGCTGATAACTGCTGTTGCCGTGATATAATTGATTAGAAAAAAAATCCCTTCCTTTTCCCGTTTGGCAGTGCGTCGCCCATATCGCCCTATTGAACAAGCCGTCCCTGTTCTAGTATTTGGAGACACAAATCCTTATCTCATTTTACCCCCTAAAACAGCTCTTCACATCAATCACAGCCTGCCAGGTGACACAACCTACATTAGCCCATTCAAGAATGCATTCTTTCTAAGTTAGTCATCCCATCAATTATACAAATAATACATCTCTCACAATATTAATATGAGTTTATTTTATTATATGTGTTACATTTATCCTTGTATTGTCCTTGTAATCAGTGATGAAGCAAGAGGTGATAAAACAATTTCGCAAGTTGTGATCAATAAAGTATTACTCTACTCCAGCCTAGCCTGTAGCCTACTCCAATTTGTAAGTCGATCTGGATAAGAGCGTCTGCTAAATGACGTAAATGTAAATGTAGTATACTCTACTCATATAGTCCTATTATTACATTGGATAAACATCATATTCAAATATGTTTTCTTATAAGATTTCTTTATAAAATGCTTTATTCCTTCATAGAAAGATGTATAGGTTTGTAGGCTAGATAAGATTGAGTGCTGTAATGTCCCGTTTCTCAACCATACAAATAGTTCAAACCGGACGTAGTAAACCGGACGTAGTGCCAAAATTAGTAGCCAATAGCTTTCGGTCTGTCATTCTGACCGCAGCGTGAGGGGGAACTGTGTCTCTTGTTCTTATAAGAAGAAATCTTTGAAATAGTTTCTCAAAGGTAAGTTCAGCGTTCTGTCTTGACAATGTAAAATGTTGTTCTGTCAATATCTTATATTTTTATTCAATTGACTGTGAGAATCAGCTCCTCAATGTGTAAGGTCAGCATCGTTCAGAGGCTACTGTAGCAAGCTAACTAACGTTAGCTCGCAAGCTAGGCTAACTTAAAGTTATTTTTTAAAACTCTTATCTACTAGCCAATCAAAGGGAACAATGCTCATGATACTGGTTTTGCTATTCAAGTATCTATCTAATTGTTAACTCACTTTTATCGTATAGTCTACACGGACAACGGGGCAACAACAGCTAACTTTTGCTAGCTAAATTGCTAAGGGATGTTCTGCTTGATGAGTGCTAACGTAAACTATATGGCTAGCTAATGTCAGATGAAAGGGGTTAGCTAGCTAACGTTAGTTCTGTATCTTTGGTGTATCTTATGTGTTGCTCTGGTCTGACACGGCTGCATGTAGCTGACTAAACTCAACTCACGATTTCGAGTTGAGTTTAATCAGCTAGGTTGCATGCAGACTACACAGGCGTAACATAGCTACTGTTAGCTAGTTAGCAAATGAACTTGATGACTTGCTGCTAGCTAGTAGTGGCAATAATCGGTATACCGACCACCGAATTTACAGCAGCAAATGACCATTCAGTGACACCAGTCTCATCTCTCATCTTATCACCCACAAGGGTTATCTAGCTAAATATGCCCAATCGTATCAAGTAGTAAGTTACTGTTCAGGATTATTATAGCCTAACTTGGTCCATGTTGGCCCTCTGCTTCACCAATGGCAGATGCCTAGGTGACAGTGTTCGAAAATCAAAGCTAATACTTTCTTTTGCATAATGATGATTACCTATTCTATTGAAATCCATAAATAAACGTCCTCCTGTCTATCTCTCCTCACAGGAGTCCTCCCCTCTCCATGTGCATCCCTAATGGGCGGCTGGACTCATAGTGCGGTGCTGGAGCTGTACCGAGCACTGCTCCGTGCAGGGCGCCACCTTCAGTACACAGACCGCAACTACTACCGGTGCGCCGTGGCCCGCGAGTTCCGCCGCTGCCAGGCCCTGACCGTGCCGAGCGACAAGGAGGACGCACTGAAGAGGGGCCAGTTTTTCCTCAGCAGTAGACTGGGGGGATTGATGTAGGTGGGGGTCAACCATCCAACACCACCTTTAGCAAGACGTGCTTGTTTCAGACTACTAACAGGTAAACTATTAAGCTATTTAACTGACCACCTATCCTATCGCTCTTTATACGTTAATAATACATGTTTTGATAATAAAAGGTACACAGTCCTTGAGTTATGGTAATAGAACGCAAGGCTCCTCACATCTGAATCAGTACTTTCTTTGTTCTTCTCTAATCACTTTTCCCATTCTAACTCTACGTTCACCTAGACAGAATGGCGGGAGTGAACGGTGAGCGTAAAGGAAAGAAGGATGACAACGGGATGGGCACAGCCGTTGACTTTTTGCTCTCTAATGCCAAGCTTGTTCTTGGGGTAGGAGGAGCTGCCATGCTTGGCATTGCAACACTAGCAGTCAAAAGAGTAAGTGGGGTATTTCTCTAAGTTAGATCATTGCAATTATATTCTTGTAAATGTTATTAGTGCTTTCGGAAAGAATTCAGTCCCCTTGACTTTTTCCACATTTTGTTACGTTACAGCCTTATTCTAAAATGGATTAAATAAAACAATTTCCTCATCAATCTACACACAATACCCCATAATGACAAAGTGAAAACAGGTTTTTATAATTTTTTGCAATTGTATAAAAAAATTAAACCAGAAATACCTTATTTACATAAGTATTCAGACCCTTTGCTATGAGACTCGAAATTGAGCTCAGGTGCATCCTGTTTACATTGATCATCCTTGAGATATTTCTACAACTTGGAGTCCACCTGTGGTAAATTCAATTGATTGGACATGATTTGGAAAGGCATACACCTGTCTATATAAGGTCCCACAGTTGACAGTGCATGTCAGAGCAAAAACCAAGCCATGATGTTGACGGAATTGTCTGTAGAGCTCCGAGACAGGATTGTGCCGAGGCACAGATCTGGGGAAGGGTACCAAAACATTTCTGCAGCATTGAAGGTCCCCAAGAACACAGTGGCCTCCATTATTCTTAAATGGAAGAAGTTTGGAACTACCAAGACTCTTCACAGAGCTGGCCGCCTGGCCAAACTGAGCAATCGGGGGAGAAGGGCCTTGGTCAGGGAGGTGACTAAGAACCCGATGATCACTGACAGAGCTCCAGAGTTCCTCTGTGGAGATGGGAGAATATTTCAGAAGGACAACCATCTCTGCAGCACTCCACCAATCAGGCCTTTATGGTAGAGTGGCCAGACGGAAGCCACTCAGTAAAATGCACGACAGCCGCTTGGAGTTTGCTAAAAGGCACCTAAAGACTATCAGACCATGAGAAACAAGATTCTCTGGTCTGATGAAACCAAGATTGAACTCTTGGCCTGAATGCTAAGCGTCACGTCTGGAGGAAACCTGGCACCATCCCTACGGTGAAGCATGGTGGTGGCAGCATCATGCTGTAGGGATGTTTTTCAGCGGCATGGACTGGGAGACTAGTCAGGATCGAGGGAAAGATGTACAGAGAGATCCTTGATGAAAACCTGCTCCAGAGCGCTCAGGACCTCAGACTGGGGCTAAGGTTCACCTTCCAACAGCACAACGACCCTAGGCACACAGCCAAGACAACGCAGGAGTGCGTTCTCTCAACCAGCTTCATGAGGTAGTCACCTGGAATGCATTTCAATTAACAGGAGTGCCTTATTAAAAGTTAATTTGTGGAATTTCTTTCCTTAATGCGTTTGAGCCAATCAGTTGTGTTGTGACAAGTAGGGGGGTATACAGAAGATAACCCTATTTGGTAAAAGACCATGTCCATATTATGGCAAGAACAGCTCAAATAAGCAAGGAGAAATGACAGTCCATCATTACTTTAAGACATGAAGGTCAGTCGATATGGGAAATATCAAGAACTTGCCACAGGAATGGAAGACTGATTTACCGCTGCTGCAGAGGATAAGTTCATTAGAGTTAACAGCCTCAGAAATTGCAGCCCAAATAAATGCTTCACAGAGTTCAAGTCACAGACACATCTTAACATCAGCTGTTCAGAGGGGACTGTGTGAATCAGGCTTTCATGGTCGAATTGCTGCAAAGAAACCACTACTAAAGGACACCAATAAGAAGAAGAGACCTGCTTGGGCCAAGAAACACAAGCAATGGACATTAGACCGGTGGAAATGTGTCCTTCGGTCTGGAGTCCAAATTTGAGATTTTTGGTTTCAACTGCCGTGTCTTTGTGAGACGCGTGTGGGTGAACGAATGATATCCTTATGTGTAGTTCCCACTGTAAAGCATGGAGGAGGAGGTTTTATGGTGTGGGGGTGCTTTACTGGTGACACTGTCTGTAATTTATTGGGAATTCAAGGCACACTTAACCAGCATGGCTACCACAGCAATCTGCAGCGAGACGCCATCCCATCTGGTTTGGGCTTAGTAGGACTATCATTTGTTTTTCAACAGGACAATGACCCAACACACCTCCAGGCTGTTTAAGGGCTATTTTACGAAGGAGAGTGATGGAGTGCTGCATCAGATGACCTGGCCTCCACAATCCCCCGACCTCAACCAAATTGAGATGGTTTGGGATGAGTCGGACAGCAGAGTGAAGGAAAAGCAGCCAACAAGTGCTCAGCATATGTGGGAACTCCCTCAAGACTGTTGGAAAAGCATTCCAGGTGAAGCTGGTTGAGAGAATGCAAAGCTGTCATCAAGGCAAAGGGTGGCTATTTGAAGAATCTCAAATATAAAATATATTTTGATTTAACACTTTTTTTTTGTTGGTTACTATATTATTCCATATGTGTTATTTCATAGTTTTGATGTATTCACTATTATTCTACAATGTAAAAATAAAGAAAAACCCTTGAATGAGTAGGTGTGTCCAAACTTTTGACTGGTAGTGTATGTAAATATAATTTCAGTTTTATTTTATTTTATACATTGGCAAAAAATTATAGAAACCTGTTTGGCTTTGTCATTATGGGATATTGTGTGTAGATGAGGGTGAAAAAAAAACAATTTAATCCATTTTAGAATAAGGCTGTAATGTAACAAAATATGGAAAAAGTCAAGGGGTCTGAATACCTTCCGAATGCACTGTATGTACATTATTTTCAATTGTGCCAGTTCAGTTGTAGGCTAAATGTGATCACCTCTCACTATTTGGCATCTGATCTCTACATCAGTAATTTATTGTTTTTAACCACGAGTGGACGACATGACCATTTCATGAAACATTCTAATGGACAAAGTTTTCAATTCAATCTTCTTTCAGATGTATGACCGTGCCATAAGTGCTCCGACCAGCCCTACTAAGATGGAACCATCAGGGAAAAGGAGCTGGGAGGAGCCCAGCTGGATGGGCTCGACACCACGGGTACTTAACCATGACATGAAGTCAACAGTGAGCAGGTCACTGCAGACTCTACCCACCTCCTCCAAGTCCTTTGAACCAGGTAAGGTACACTCATGTATTTAGGTTGTCACACACGATAATGTTATTCCGCATTACAACTATTAACATTGCTCATATAAGAGTTATGATCGTGCCGTTAGCTCACCCCACAGCGTGAAACGTTGCCAATAGCGCTGCTGAATTGTTACTTTTTCGGTGGAGCGACCGGTTAGTACGTTGTCAAGCAGGGCGGTTACGTGTGTTGGCAAGGCAGAGGATGCGAGATCAAGTACCGGTAAGGACTGGTGAGCTAGGAAGCTATACTGCTAAGCAGTACAGGGATGCCTGTTACACTCACACTTGCTCACACTCGCACACATTGCCTATCTGTGTTCAGAGTGAGGCCTGAGGAGTAACACTTGGGATTGATGGAGCAGGTTAGTAGTGTGTTTCAGATGGTTTGACCTCATCTCTGTGCAGTGTTTTCTAATCCTTGGCTGTGTCTATTGATGACAGGATGGCTGATGGCAGGATGGCTGTACTTCCTGTATTGTGGGTGATACCGCTGACTCTCAGTGCTTGTATGAAGCTACAGGGTCGTTCCATTTGATTTCAATCAGTTTTTGACCGCGCCTCTTTTGATTTGAACTAAACTTTCCATACATATTTGTCCATGGTAGAAGTGATCAGAAAATGACTTTATCAAACTATATTATAATGTTTTGAAAAAATATATTTGTAATGTTTCATTTCAATTATCTAAAAACATGTAAGCTCAGATATATTTTCATTTTTGCATATGTTGTAGCTTAGACCGTAATGTACATCATCTGAGGTGTTTGTGTTGTGCCTGCCATTGGTTGAAACACAGCATACTCTTGAATACAGGGTGGGTGTCATTTTAATCATAGAAATATAATTCATAGAATGGACCTATCCCTTCAGACCACTGCAATTTAGCTGGTACACCATTGAAATTAATTTAATTGACATTTTACATTCCAATTACTACCACAAAGATGGCCGCCGGTCCACCCACCGTCGATTGGCCACTTAAATGGGAATGTCTATTCTATTATCTATATTTCTATGATTTTAATAGGTTTCCTATGGAAGACATTGTAATTTCAAACAACTGATATTCCCATTCAATTCAATATTCTCCAATCATCTTTGTGGTACAATTGGAAAGTTGAAATGTCAATGTTATTCCCATTTTAGTAAATTTATCAGCCACTCTGTATTCAAGTGCATGCTGTGTCTCAACCGATGGCGGTCTGAACATAAACCTCAGATGATGTAAAATAGGATCTAAGCTACAACATGCGAAAATCTGAGTTTACACGTTTTTAGATTATTGATGTTAAAGGGAAAAAAAAAAGTCATTTTTTATTTACTTTTTGGTTTGAAATAAATTACCATATAGTTTGACAATCCTGTTTGTAAGCATTTATATTTTCAAGAGATACAGTACAGTGGATGTCTCATGGTATGGTGGGGTATGCAACATGGATCCAATTTTGGGCACCTCCATCTCCTGAATGTTTTGGCATTCAGGTCCAAAAAATCACTTTCTGACCACTTCTACCATGGGCAGATATGTATGGAAAGTTTTGTTCAAATGAAAAGGGGGGCGGTCAAAGCTATTGAAATCGAACAGAACGACTCTACAGTTTTGTTAGTAGAAACCCAACTAAATAGAATCAGATGGATAGTTTCTATTGAGCTCCATTAGATATTTGTTACAAAGTTTAAGAAAATACCTCAACTAAAGTCTGTGGAATTTTGGATGGTTCTCTTATGCCGGGTGTACACTACTCAACTTTCAAAGTCCTAACATCGCTCAGCCTCTCACATTTAACGACTGTCTTTCATGACGTGTTTTGTCTTCCCAACGTATTGGCACAAACGGGGTCACACACTACAAGATTCTTCACTTGGTCATGAGGATTCTCAATACCACACTGTCTTGCAAAAATGAAACTTGTCTGATCTCAACTAAAAACATTGTGTAGTGTACACCCGGCTTTAGTGTGTAGGATACTCTCTGTAGGAGAGGATAGTCCGTAAAGCAACCTCTCTCGTGGTACTTGTTCCCATTAGTTGGGTTTGTCACCCAATAAATATCCTTCTTACTTTCGTTCTTATTTACCTCCCATTACCTTTCAACATTTTCACACTTTATTATAGTGTCTTGCATCATCAGGATGCCCAGCCCACATGGGCTTATAAAACACTAAATATGCCAATTTTAGTATTATTTTACCCATACCTACACATTCCTAACGTCTGCCTGTCTTGGCTGTATCCCCTCAGACTGCATGCGGAAGGCGATGGGGCAGGGACGTAGTGCTGCAGGGCAGACCGACCTCCTCCGGGCCAGGATGCGCCTCTCCTTACAGGAGAAACTGTGGGAGTTCTACCAGGAGCGAGTGGCCATCCCCGCTGAGGAGCAGGCCACAGCCCGCCGGGCCGCCCTGGACATCTGCGCTGAGCTGAGGATCTTCCTGCACGCCAAGCTGCCCGACATGCCGCTCCGAGAGATGTACCTCAGCGGCAGCCTCTACGACGACCTGCAGGTAAGAAGAGGGTGGTAGTAGTAAACTGTATTATCCCTCTGGGGGAAGGGAGAAAGATATCACTTCACCAACTGTTGGCTTAGGACTGTTGTGACCACAAACAATGCTTTTTACCTCGGTGACCGTCTCTGGGTTTGAAATGTTATGGTTTTATAAGAATAACACCAATGTGCTCCCTCTCTGACTCTCTCTCTGACTCCCTCTCCGACTCTCTTTCTGATTCTCTCTCTGACTCGCTCTCTCTCGGACTGACTCGCTCTCTTATCCCTCTACCCACCCCCACTCTTTCTATCTATATCCGCTACCCCCATCTTTCTCTCCGCTCCCCCCTCTCACCCCAACTCTTTCTCTCTCGCTCTCCCCCCCCACTCTTTCTCTCTCGCTCTCCCCCCACCTCTCTCTCTCGCTCTCCCCCCCACTCTTTTCTCTCTCGCTCTCCCCCCCCTACCTCTCTTCTCGCTCTCCCCCCCACTCTCTCCCCCTCGCTCCCACCCCCACTCTCTTTCTTACCACCCACTCTTCTCTTTCTCTCTCCTCTCACTCCCCCCACGCTCTCTCTCCCCTCCCCAATCTTGTCTCTCTCTCCCCCTTCACTCTTTCTCTCCTCCTCCATCTCGCTCTCCCCCACCTATTTATCTCTCTCCCCTCTCTCTCTCCCCCCCACTCTTCTCAACTATTTCTCTCTCTCCCTCGCTCTACACCGCCCCCACTCTTTCTCTCTCTCGCTCCTCCCCGCACCCCACTCTTTCTCTCTCGTCGCTCACCCACCACTCTTTCTCCCTACCACCCCCACTCGTTCTCCCTCCACACAACTATCCCCCCAACTCTTTCTCCCTCCCCCCACTCCTCACCCCCCATAACTTTCTTTCTTTCTCTCCACTCTCCCCCCCACTCTTTCTCTCTCTCTCGTTCCCCCCCCCCCCTCCACTCTTTCGCTCTCTCCCCCCCCCCCCCACTATTTCTCCCACTCTTTCTCAGGTGGTGACAGCGGATCACGCTCAGCTCATGGTCCCTTTGACCTTGGAGAAGAACCTGTGGTCGTCAGTCCCTGGCGAGGACACCATCATGAACATGCCGGGTTTCTGGCTGATTCGCAGGGAAAACCTGGAGTACTTCCCCCGAGGCAGCAGCTACTGGGACCGCTGCATGGTAGGAGGCTACCTCTCCCCCAAGTCTGTCCTGGAGGTGTTCGAGAAGCTGGTGGCGGGCTCCATCAACTGGCCGGCCATCGGCAGCGTTCTGGACTACGTGATCCGGCCGGTGGTTCCCTCGGAGACTCTCACCCTGGAGGTCCAGTATGAGACGGACCGCCATCTTTACGTGGACTTCCTGCCTCTGTTGGTGACGGACAACGGCGCCTCGCTGATTGCCAAGCCACACAGGCTGGCCGCCGAGCGCCACGAAAACCTGTGGCGGCAGAGCTTCCGCGTGGCGGAGACGGCGCGCCTGCGGGCGCTGGACAAGGAGGACGGTGGCTGCCGCTGCGCCTGCCTCAAGGTGACCAAAGCAGTGTGCAAGCTGAACCCGGCCCTGACGCGCCTGTCGGCCAGTCAGCTCACCAACGCCATACTGCTGCTGAGCGGGAAGGAGGGCGACTGGACCCAGGAGGCGCTGGCCGACCGCTTCCTGCAGCTGCTTCGCTCGCTAGTGGGACACCTAGAGGCCGGGAGGCTCCCCTGCGCTCTGGTCCCCAAAGTCAACCTGTTCTGTGAGCTGACGCCAGTGGAGGTGGATGAGCTAGGATACACCCTCTACTGTTCCCTCTCTGACCCAGAGGGACTCCTAAGGACTCCTGAGTCTGACTGAGTCTGGTCATGGGTTCTAGGGTTTAGGACAGATAGTATAGAATTCTAACTAAGCCTCCATAGAGTCCATACTGCAGAAGAGGATATGATATGTAATTTATATGTGCTTCAGACATGGACCATGCCCCCTGTGACCACGTCGCTGTGTGATTGATTCAACATCACGTCTCTGGAGTCCCTGTTTCATCGATCAATACTTTTATCTTGTACTTTTTGTTGTTGCGTAATTATGTGTGAAATGCAAAATCAACCACTTTAGTGTGGGGGGTTAATCACCATGTTTTTGACATGCAAGACATATCTGCTGAATTCAAATACAGGATCATCCAAATACCAGTTAAACCTCATGATGATGAAACCAGTCCCTTCATATGATCCACATGGCGCACGTAAGCCGTGATACATAGTACTGTTCAGAGGGGTATACTACAAAGCATGATCAAGGAGTTAGCCAGCTAACTTGCCTAGATATCCTGAAATAACTAAAAAAATGTGAAAGATAATCTTCAAATGGGCTTAGTCTAATTGGCTTAACCAAAAACGCATAACTTTAGCTTTCTTAATGAACCAAAAAAAATTGGACAGTTATTTCTGGTTGTTTATCAAAGTTGAACCTGCTTTGTAGTATACCCCTTGGGTTAGGGCTCAGTGTTTGTTGAATTGGTGATTGCTTCATTGGCTAATATTATGTTACCATAATATTATGTAACCAATTTGGATTGAATGGTGTGGAATAAAGATGATATTTATTAATTATATATAATTTGTGGGAATGGAAATTGGTCTATTGGAAATATATTTTGGTAGCTCCATCCTCAGATTGCAGGTCTTTCAAACAGTGAGATTATGATGGGGAACAATAGTATAATGCTAGTTAATATCATGTCTGAACAGGGGCATGAAGGAGAGCTCTCAGTAGTCAAATGAACTAGCCTCAATCGTCTCTAGCCATGCATTATCGATCTATCGATCCATCGATCGATGCAGGGTGCTTATTATACTCTGACATCCTTAAGCACTGTTGTGGTCCAGTAGGAAACAAGACCAGTGAGTGGGACATGGCAGGGGGTTGTAGCACTTATAGTGCTGTAGCCTAGTATCGTACGGGTTGTGCTGTAGCCAACTCTTCTCATTGTGATGTTTGGCATGGCAAGGCTAGAAGAGTTGGTGACAGTGCATACAGTATGGGACCAGGATACACTTTGCCTACTCTACCACTCCAACTGTGGAAATGGATAGAATGTAATGTTGACCATGTGAGCCGCCCCAAAAGCAAATAAAATGTGGTAAGTCTGAAATCTTGACATTCTTGAGTTTTAAAAAAGAACATGTTGGAGCAGTTATTTGCCCCGCTGGCTTAAAAAATAAAATAAAAAATTGGTCAAGAGTTGACATCAAAATACTTGAAGTGAGTATTTTGATTTTGGTTAAATTCTGTTCAAGTTGCAGTTATATTTCAGAAATTCTAGCAATCTTTGCAAGGGTGGAAGCACCCACTATAAGAACATAGAAACCTCTGTATCTTCATGGTATTTAAGTTGCGGATGATTTGTGTGTTTTCTAGGACTCCTCCCACAAAAGTTGTTGAATGAAAGAATGTTGAGAAATAACAATATACTTTTATGTTAGGAATGTGTGTCGTTTGCATGAGAAAATTAATCATACATTGGGTTATTGTTACACATCTGTGTACAGTCTGTTTATGACGTCAAATATGTCTTGTGACATTAAGATGAAATACTTGACCTGTGTGTTCATTCAGAGGTCTGTGTTATGTAAAACACAAAATGGTTGGTGTGCATTTGTAAATTAAACTTTGTGATAGTTGGGATGCTAAGCTGAGAGCAAATTGATCAAAAACAGAGCAGCTCGGTTGCTGTGGACAACGAATTTGTTTCCAGTTGAACATAAAGTATTTGTCAGTTTGGCTTTCAGGTCTGATCTTGCTTCAGTGGCCCCTACTGGTATAAGGTAACTGTTTGTCAGTCATGATACAGTGCCTTCAGAAAGCATTCATAGCCCTTGATGTATTCCACATTTTGTTGTGTTCCAGCCTGAATTCAAAATGGATTCAATATATTTTGTTCTCACCCATTTTACAGACAATACCCCATAAATGACAGTGAAAACATGTTTTTATATATTTTTTTGTGAATTTCTTGAAAATGAAGTACAGAAATATGTCATTTACATAAGTATTCACACCCCTTAGTCTACATGTTAGAATCACTTGGCAGCAATTATAACTGAGTCTTTCTGGGTAAGTCATTAAGAGCTTTGCACAACTGGATTGTACAATATTTGGACATTCTTTTTAAAATTCTATCAAGTTGGTTGTTGATCATTGCTAAACAGCCATTTTCAAGTCTTGCCATAGATCTTCAAGTCAATTTAAGTCAAAACTAACTAGACCACTCAGGAACATTCAATGTCGTCTTGGTAAGCAACTCCAGTGTATATTTGGCCTTGTGTTTTAGGTTATTGTTCTGCTGAAAGGTGAATTTGTCTCCCAGTGTCTGGTGGAAAGCAGACTGAACCAGGTTTTCCTCTAGGATTTTGCCTGTGCTTAGCTCTATTCAGTTTCTTTTTTATCCTAAAAGAACTCCCTAGTCCTTGCCGATGACAAGCAGACCCATAACATGATGCAGCCACCACCATGCTTGAAAATATGAAGAGTGGTACTCGGCGACGTGTTGTTGGATTTGCTCTAAACATACAACGCTTTGTATTCAGGACATAAAGTTAATTTCTTAGCCACATTTTTTGCAGTTTTACTTAAGTGCCTTATTGCAAACAGGATGCATGTTTTGAAATATTTGTATTCTGTACAGGCTTCCTTCATTTCACTCTGTGCCTCATGGTGAAATCCCTGAGTGGTTTCCTTCATCTGTGGCACCTAAGTTAGGAAGGACACCTGTATCTTTGCAGTGACTTGGTATATTGATACACCATCCAAAGTGTAAAAACTTCACCACGCTCAAAAGGGATATTCAATGTGTGCTTTTAAAAAAATATCCATCTACCAATAGGTGCCCTTCTTTGCGAGGCATTGTAAAAACTCCCTGGTCTTTGTGGTTGAATCTTTTTGAAATTCCCGTCTTGACTGAGGGACCTTGCAAATAATTGTATGTGTGGGGTACAGAGATGAGGTAGTCATTTTAAAAAAATCATGTTAAACACTATTATTGTACACAGTGAGTACATGCAACTTATGTGACTTGTTAAGCACATTTTACTCCATAACTTATTTAGGCTTTCCATAACTAAGGGGTTGAATACTTATTGACTCAAGACATTTCAGCTTTTCATTTTTAATTTGGGCTGTAACACAAAATGTGAAAAAAGTCGAGGGGTGTGAATACTTTCTCAATGTATACCGTCTTCTGTCTTGTCATGGTGCGGCTCATTTCTCAAAGAGCTTCTTTGGCAGAGGAGAGCCTGTGGGCTTCGTTCCGATATCCACTTCATCAGACCACTTAGTTAGAATGAATGCCCAGCCCTGTACATTGCTTCATTCTTAATGTTATGTTAGTGTGGATATTGGAACAAAGGTGTGTTCAGTTTAGAGAGACGTTTCCCTTATTATTTATGATAGTTCCATTAACTTTACTCTTAAAGACACGGTGGGTAGGTATTTATTGAGTATTCAACTTGGTGCTCACTGTGTGCATTTGTTAAGGGCTCTGGTCAACTCCATTGACAAACAAAATCAACCCACATTGAAAGACAGCCAGGGTTAATCTGGTGTTGACCGAGTTGATGTCCAGCAGACAGACAGGGATTCAAACCAGGTCAGGTGGCAGCTATAACCATCCCATGCAAAGATATCCAGTTTCAATCACAAGCCGCCTTCAAGAGTGTTATACAAAGATAATGTATCTTTATTCCTAAATCATCACTTTTCTCATCTGTGATTTAATTTTCTTCCCCAATTACCACAATATTGTCTCACACAGGTAATTAGTGTCTATTCTGGTAGAAGTGGAGGGTGTGCTTGGTACAGTAGTGCATTATACAAGAAAATCTTCGACATGTAATGGAGACAGTTTAGTATTTTAGTATTTATTGTACATTTGTAACCAAAAAAGCAGAGTATTTATGTTTGCGGGGTCATTTTGCCACGCAAGTTTGTTACATCTTTTATGCAGCCCAAAGTAGACAACTACCTCTACCTTTGGAACTGAATGGTACACAGCACTTTGTATACTCCGATAATAAATGTTGCGGCAGATGTTTCTCGTGGTTGTTTTTCTGTGTCAATTAAAATGAGTAAGTAATTTCAAATCATGAGGCTTGTAGGGAAAATAATCTTTGGGTAGGATACAGCAGCAGGTGCAGCAACAGGTAGCTGGCTGCTGGCAGAGATGGAAATTAAGCTAGCCCGAGGCTAGTACTTTTCAGACCAAGCTAGTAGAACATGTTCTCAACTAGTCGGCAAGTGACATTTTGTCTAGTCAAAAATTGCATGGCATAGATTAAAACCGGCTAGTAAATCTGGTCTACTAGCCCAGCTGACCAGTGCCTAAAATCCTTAAATTCAATCCCTACACCTGTAAGAGTTAAACATGAAAGGGTGGGGTTGTGACGTTTAGTTGGGTCAATTATAAGAGCTTGTACACATATCACAAACGTTGTTCATAACCCTTGATACAATTACTGTCCCTTGGTACGTAGTTACTCACTGGACATCATTGTTTTTGTTAAATCAACCTGAGTTTAATTTACATTGATATGCATTCAGTCTTTATTTTTTTATTTAACCTTTATTTAACCAGGTAAGCCAGTTGAGAACAAGTTCTCATTTACAACTGACCAGGCGACCTGGCCTGGTTTTCTGCTTCATCTACAAAGGACATGTATTTTCAGTAAAGATATGCATTCAGTAATGTGCTTTGCAAAAAAAAAAAAAAGTTGCGTTGTCAGAAAGGAGATACAACAGTGCAGAAAAGAGATGCAGTATCACTTTGTCGTCGTACAAAACACCAAGCTAAACTGCCTACAGCAGCTCATATCACAATTTCGATCTGCAACTACTTATTAATTATTCACCAAACTCACATGGGAACACTTAGTCTTAAAATACAATTTTAAAAACACAGCCCCCCAAAAAGTCACAAGAAGCAAAACAGGCAAAGACAAGGAACCAAGCAAAGGCGCCCCTTCTGAGTTTCTTTTTGGGGGGTTTTGTTCATTTTGGTGGTGTGCTTTTCCTGTGGGGATTTGATAGGTTGACCTTGGTTTGGCTTATACCCATCACATCCTCTCCACAAGTGGCTATGGGGTGTAGTTTCTGTTGTTTCTCCCCTCTACTTGGCGGGGGCGAGCCCCACGCGGTCTGAGTCTCTGTCAAACACGCTGTAGTAGCGTCCAATGAACACATCTCCCAGGATCCACAGCGGTCCAGCCGGAGGAGGGATGTCCATGGCCATGAAGCCTGACAGACAGATTTTCTGACCCATCTGGGACTCCTGCAGCACATAGGGGAGAAGCTTTGAATGATTTGTCACACTTCAACTTAACTACAACCTCTACTCAACTCATCTAGAGGTATGGCCACAGAATTAAATAGATAATACTTTTCAAGATGTAGTAAAATGCATCTCTAGGCATGCGAACTGATTAACCGTTTAATTCATGCTGATTGAAAGATGTCAAATTTCACAGACTATTTTCTACTGGCAGGCAGGCCACAGTGAACACTGGTCAGGAGGTGTAATTTACCTTCAGGATATAGTCGTCTCCAGTCAAGTTGAACATCTTCCCTCCCAGGTTGAATGCGATGACGGGGAGAGATGGAACCTTCTTGCAGTCAATCCAATACTGAGAGGGAGTAAGGGGGGAAAAAACAAGGTGAAAAGTATGTACTTCACAAATCAAAACTTAACTTCTGTCACTACAATACAAATGAACACAACTGAGATTACAAGAAAATAGAGCCTTACTGTGCATGATTGAAATATTTTGTTGACCATTCAGGAGAACTAAAAGAGGTTGGAACTGATAGAATGTACTTGTATGCTACAACAGGTAGACATTTAGTCTACAGACTCCTCTACCTACCTCTCCCATCAGTAGAGGCAAGGCTCCGATGGCTTTGTGCAGCGCCCGGACCTCCTCCACAGGCCCGGTGATGAGGGATGTTCCCGTGTCAACAATCGCCTGGCAACCGCCCTTGCACAGAGTCAGTTGGTTGCCCACTTCAACACTGCAGAGCAGATGCAGAGCACCAATTAGCTGTGATCACTCAAGACTAAATTATCCTTAACTTCTTCTGTGTGCGATTTTTTTTTAATGATTGGTTCAAGGACATGCATCTGATGTAATAGAAGCAATTATTGGTACCTTGATTGTCTTATTTCTTTATTGACACAAAGATTGCTATTTTTCCATCCACTATCATGGGGGATCCTGCTTTCTGGAAACAGCATGCAGTACCCCGTCGGCCTTGAACTTCATGGCTTCAATGAGGGGGCAGTCGTTCTCCCCTGGTATAGATATTATAATAGAGCCTGTGTAGATGAGAACCAAGTTGCTTACCTGCTCATCTCGATCTGCCAATAGGCCTTGCGTGTGACGTTGACATAGTGCAGGTCTCCAGTGTAGTGCAGTGGGTCTATGCCTCCCAGCATCAGCTCTCCTCCTACAGCAGCTAATGGATCTCTGAGGAACAGGATATCAAAGGGGTTACAAGTTGTTAGTTCATTGGATAAATCTACTAGGGTGCACTGGAAGATGGTCTTGATCGTCAATCTAATATCAGAGAAGAAAATGTATCATTGCCTCAACCCCATTGAAGCTAGTGACGACACAAGAATACAAGGTTGTACAAGTTATGAAAATGAATTTCATTTACCTGTGGTTCATAGACTTTGCCCACAAAAAGGAAGACATTTTAAAGCTTCAATATGTAACTTTTTGGGTGACCCGACCAAATTCACAGAAATGTGAGTTATAGATCTGTCACTCATTGAAAGCAAGTCTAAGAAGCAGTAGATATGTTCTATGTGCGCTATTTCTTTGCTTCCCATTCTTATGTTTTTGCGTCTTTTATTTTCAGTTTTGTACACCAGCTTCAAACAGCTGAAAATACAATATTTTCGGTAAAATTGAAAATATGTTTCACAGCGGTTTAGATGGTACACTGATTCTCTACACTATAACGGGATTGTTGTCACAAACTGAAATTAGGCAAACTATTTCACTTCCTTGTTTCTGAGGAAATATGACAGCAAATGTAGAATTTCAGGATAACAGGAGCTCAAAATATCCCAGTTCAAATACAAGAAACCCCTTTCAGTTGACCTCCACCAACAGTAAACAGGACTGTTTAAAAAATAGTTTAAAAACAAATCACAAGTCAACAAACCACACATTGACCTACGGCCCCCAGTAAGAATCTATTCAATAAAGGTAAAATCCCTAAAACCAACCAACCTGCTAATATAGAAGGAAAATATGTTCTGAGGCAACAGTTTGGCAGCCATGGCAGTGTCAAACACAGGGGTTATCTTGTCGACAGATATGGACGGGTAGCCCATGCCCAGCACTCCGTCAAAGCGTGCCACTGCAAACGTGATGCCAGGTTGCTTCACGGCCTCACCAAACTGTTGACCAGCAACCTGCATGCCAGCCAACTGAGAGAGGGATGGAATGCAGAACAGGATACAAATCAGACTGTTCTTGAACACTAAAACAGTGAGGTTTACAGACAATAGACAGTAAGGAATGGTATGCAGACTATACTCCACATTCCATCACTTAAAATGGACAGTGGTAAAATTACACAAAAATGCTGTGGATTTGCCCACTTAAATTAGGAATACAAATGAACAATGGACAACGTGTGTGTGTGTGAACAGAACAGTCCACTTACAGAGACAGTGTCCCCACTGATGAACCCAGACAAACTGCCTCTGCCATACTGGATGGAGAACTTTGTGCCATTCTGAACGTACGTGCTCGACTTCTTGGAGTTATAACGATGGTGGAGCCCTAAGCAGAGGTGTACATAAAGTTGACAACTTTCTCAAGTTTGATAAATCATTTTTCAAACAAAATAAACACATCCCTCGTGATGCCTTAAAAATATGAATAGGACTTCCAGTACAGCCCAAAACATGGAAGAGCAAAAAGGTATTTGCAACTTTGCACCCATCTCATGATTACATGATAGGAGTCTCAGCAGATAGTAAAACCATATAGTGTTATGAATGAAGTGCATCGCCACGGGAAGTAGTTTGCAAAAAATATATATATGCCCGCGCTGAAGACATTAATATTGCCGGCTAATACAGAACTAGTAAAGGCCCAATGCACTAGTGCGAAGAAAATTGTAAACTAAATGTATTTGAATTTCAGTGTTTATCAGCATTTGTATCTTGAGTCTGATAATTATCTGTGCAAAACAGTTAATCTGATAATACTTGTAGAATATAAGAATACTTGCTTGATATGTGTTTTCCAGTTTCTTGAAATACTTTGCAAATGCAACGTGGTCCTCTGTAGCTCAATTGGTAGAGCATGGCGCTTGTAACGCCAGGGTAGTGGGTTCGATCCCCGGGACCACCCATACGTAAAAATGTATGCGCACATGACTGTAAGTCGCTTTGGATAAAAGCGTCTGCTAAATGGCATATTATTATTAACTTATTTCTAGTCCCCTTAAGTTCAGTTGGTAGAGCATGGCGCTTGCAACGGCAGGGTTGTGGGTTCGTTTCCCACGGGGGGCCAGTATGAAAATGTATGCACTCACTAACTGTAAGTCGCTCTGGATAAGAGCGTCTGCTAAATGACTAAAATGTAAATGTGGAATCTGGTCTATTCATTCCTTTTACATGTTAGTAGACGCTCTTATCCAGAGCAACTTACAGTAGTGAGTGCATACTTTTTCGTATTGGTCCCCCGTGGGAAGCTAACCCACAACCCTAGTGTTGCAAGCACCATGCTCTACCAACTGAGCCACATCATCACAAACCACTTGATGTCTCAATGTACTCAATTACTGTATTGTGCATTGTTTTTCGTGATGGAAAGTCTACAGGTGCAAACCTAGATGACCAGCCAATGTACAATACAATAATGTACATTTACATTAAGTGATTCGTAAGGATGGTAAATTAATACTGCACAAAAGTTATTTTCCATGTTCCTTGATCAAGAAAAATATTAAAAATGTATGTGGATGTTTTGAGTCTTTGCCCATAACGTTGCACCTTATGATGTACAGTACCAGACAAAAGTTTGGACACACCTACTCATTCAAGGGTTTTTCTTTATTTTTACTATTTTCTACATTGTAGAATAATAGTGAAGACATCAAAACTATGAAGTAACACATATGGAATCATGTAGTAACCAAAAAAGTGTTAAACAAATCAAAATATATATTTTATATTCTTCAAATAGCCACCCTTTGCCTTCATGACAGATTTGCCCACTCTTGACATTCTCTCAACCAGCTTCACCTGGAATGCTTTTCCAACAGTCTTGAAGGAGTTCCCACATATGCTGAGCACTTGTTGGCTGCTTTTCCTTCACTCTGCGGTCCGACTCATCCCAAACATCTCAATTTGGTTGAGGTTGGGGGATTGTGGATGCCAGGTCACCTGATGCAGCACTCCATCACGCTCCTTCTTGGTCAAATAGCCCTTACACAGCCTGGAGATGTTCGGTCATTGTGCCATTCATCCGACGCCATCACCTCACGTTTCAGCATGATAATGCACGGCCCCATGTCGCAAGGATCTGTACACAATTCCTGGAAGCTGAAAATGTCCCAGTTCTTCCATGGCCTGCAATTGAGCATGTTTGCTCTGGATCGACAATGTGTTCCAGTTCCCGCCAACACCCAGCAACTTGGCACAGCCAGGTGTGGGACAACGTTCCACAGGCCACAATCAACTCGATGCGAAGTAGATGTGTCACGCTGCATGAGGCAAATGGTGGTCACACCAGATACGGACTGGTTTTCTGATCTACACCCCCACCTTTAAGGTATCTGTGACCAACAGATGCATATATGTAGTCACTGTGATGTGAAATCCATAGATTAGGGCTTAATTTATTTAAACTGACTGATTTCCTTATATGAACTGTAACTCGTTGAAATTGTTGCATGTTTCATTTTTGTTCAGTGTGTATTTTGTATTATTCATAAATTGTATTATTATTTTTAGCACCCTCAGCACCCCTACTTCCCGTGGCTATGGCGAAATGCAGAAGGCAATAATAGACTGACTCACAGCATGCAATATCCAGGAAGGAGCAGTGAATGGAGGGCACCCACAGGTTGGAGGAGCCGGTGTCAAACAGCACGGTAAAGTCCTGGGGTGGTGTGCCTATGCTGATCACCCCATAGTACTGAGCCTGTAGAGAGATTTGATACCAACACCACATTCATATGATAAATACATAGGCCTAAGTCTATACTACAGTTCTCTTCTAACTCCTGGGGCGAGAGATACACTGAAAGTGCAAGCTTTTATTCAACCAAATCACACACCTGAAAAAAAATTAAAGTATATATCTCAGTATGAACAAATGTATGCACTCACTAACTGTAAGTCGCTCTGGATAAGAGCGTCTGCTAAATGACTAAAATGTAAAATGTAAATGTAATTATCTTCAATCTGGGCCATGATTGGCAGATTGGCCATGTTATGAAGGGTTGGAACAAAAGCCTGCACACCCAACTCCTGGAGAACCTTGGCTTTACTTATTATTGCTTCAGTCAGCCTAGAACAAGACAGAGTTAACCCAAGCCTAGTGACAATATCCACTTACATCCATGAAGTTGGTGAGTCTCTCAACTGGCACTTTCGGACTCTGAGTGGTTGCTGGTACGGATGGTGGTGTGACAGCTCCTGCAACACCAACGGTCTTGGCCATGTCCTGGAGTTGTTCAAAACTCATCCCATTGTCACTCATCAGGCGGACGCATACTGCGCGTCTTGTGGAGGGGAATTCTATGGGCAATTTTGTACGATAACGAAAAGAGACAGTTTATCTGTCATAATTTGTTAAACAAATAATTCAGAACTCGTGCGCTCTACTTCCTGTGTTATACAAGTGTTCTACTAGTATGTTCCCATACTTTTACGCGCAGCTTGGTTCTATTTTACTACAGAAATGCTTCGTTATTATGTACAATCTATGTTAACTTCAATGCAAACTTTAGGGGATAGATGTCATGGATATGCCAGCGTTATGGAAACGTTTTGTGTGTGCACCAAAATTGGAACCACATGTGCCTAAACAAACATGCATGTAAAATTTGCAATAATAATAACCTAATGTCAGGAAATTAAACTACCCCAGAGAACGGTTACAGCCTTGCCTATTCTATACTGATCACGGGATAGCGCAAGAATAAATACTCGCGTAATTCAAAGCTTTCCCAAGCAACTGACGAAAATATTTTACCTTATAATAGCAGAGCTGTGCGCTATCAACAGCGCGATGGTTATAGACAATATTTTAAGACACTTCATATTCTGTCTTTGAGTGCTTTCACTTTAGCCAAGAATCTTGGATGTCCAAAGCGTCCGTCCACAGAAGACCGCGCCCTCGATCAAATCTACGCACTAAACCCAGTTATATCCGTATGCCTTTCGGGTGATTTCTGTACACACTCGCTTTTCTTCACTCGGTCCAATCCTGATTGGTGACAGTACATAAATCAGACGGTTTTATTGGCTTAAATAGTATCCATCATTTTAATTGGCCAGTGCAATCTCGAAAACTTTGGACGTTTAGTTTTTTGTCCTAACACTGCACAGTTGATTCAAATTATATACGCTTGTGATTGATTATTTGAATCAACCAAAACGTGCACCCCTTGGGGTCCAGATGACCGAGTTTGGGAATCCCTGCCTTAACCCTTGCCCTAACCATGTTAAAGTTAGACTTCAATGGGGGAATGGACGTTCCAAGGACCCCAGATAGCAAGGACAATTTAAAATCAGACACCGTCCTATGCACATGACAAGTCGCAGTCGCAGGATCACGAGATACATGGAGAAGGGTCTGATTGCGGCCCCCAATTCCGGCCGTTGCCGCATCTGCAGGAAACCCTCTTAAAGAGCGACTGCCTTTAAAAATCAACGAATCCCTTTGAAAACGGCCTATCAGCCATCGAAAAAATATTCCAGTGTCAAAATGTACTACAAAGTGTAAATAGGACAATTTTGGTCATAAAGTCAGTTTCATCTAAAACGGAGTTTGGAACATTTGACAGAGTTTTGAACATCCGTGTGTCACAACTTTGGGTTTTATTTGAAAATGTCAATTTGCCCACTAACAACAACAACAACAACAACAACAATAATAATAATAATAATAATAATTCATTTAATTTGTAAAGTGCTTTTCTCAGACCCAAGGTGCATTTCAAAAACACATTACATAGAACACACACAACAATCAAAGCTATATGTGTCGCCAGATCCGGAGGACATGAGAACAGAATTAGCAGAGGTCCTTGAAAGCTTTTCTGAACAGCACGGTCTTGAGCTGTGTCTTAAAGGAGGACAGAGACTGCAGCCCTAATAGTGTCTAGAAGTGCGTTCCACAACCACGGAGCTGCGCAACTGAAAGCCCTGTCACCCATAGTCTTTAATCTGCTGCAGGGCTGCTGAAGGGAGACGAACCTGGAGGAGCGAAGGGTGCGTTTGGGGCAGGAGGATTGAATGAGCTCAGACAGGTACTTCGGTCCAGAGTTGGGGATAGCTTGCTACAGTGAGGGAAAAAAGTATTTGATCCCCTGCTGATTTTGTACGTTTGCCCACTGACAAAGAAATTATCAGTCTATAATTGTAATGGTAGGTTTATTTGAACAGTGAGAGACAGAATAACAACAACAAAATCCAGAAAAACGCATGTCAAAAATGTTATAAATTGATTTGCATTTTAATGAGGGAAATAAGTATTTGACCCCCTCTCAATCAGAAAGATTTCTGGTGTCTTTTATACAGGTAGCGAGCGTAGATTAGGAGCAAACTCTTAAAGGGGGGGCTCCTAATCTCAGCTTGTTACCTGTATAAAAGACACCTGTCCACAGAAGCAATCAATCAATCAGATTCCAAACTCTCCACCATGGCCAAGACCAAAGAGCTCTCCAAGGATGTCAGGGACAAGATTGTAGACCTACACAAGGCTGGAATGGGCTACAAGACCATCGCCAAGCAGCTTGGTGAGAAGGTGACAACAGTTGGTGCGATTATTCGCAAATGGAAGAAACACAAAATACTGTCAATCTCCCTCGGCCTGGGGCTCCATGCAAGAGCTCACCTCGTGGAGTTGCAATGATCATGAGAACGGTGAGGAATCAGCCCAGAACTACACGGGAGGATCTTGTCAATGATCTCAAGGCAGCTGGGACCATAGTCACCAAGAAAACAATTGGTAACACACTACGCCGTGAAGGACTGAAATCCTGCAGCGCCCGCAAGGTCCCCCTGCTCAAGAAAGCACATATACAGGGCCGTCTGAAGTTTGCCAATGAACAGCTGAATGATTCAGAGGAGAACTGGGTGAAAATGTTGTGGTCAGATGAGACCAAAATCGAGCTCTTTGGCATCAACTCAACTCGCCGTGTTTGGAGGAGGAGGAATGCTGCCTATGACCCCAAGAACACCATCCCCACCGTCAAACATGGAGGTGGAAACATTATGCTTTGGGGGTGTTTTTCTGCTAAGGGGACAGGACAACTTCAACGCATCAAAGGGACGATGGACAAATCTTGGGTGAGAACCTCCTTCCCTCAGCCAGGGCATTGAAAATGGGTCGTGGATGGGTATTCCAGCATGACAATGACCCAAAACACACGGCCAAGGCAACAAAGGAGTGTCTCAAGAAGAAGCACATTAAGGTCCTGGAGTGGCCTAGCCAGTCTCCAGGCCTTAATCCCATATAAAATCTGTGGAGGGAGCTGAAGGTTCGAGTTGCCAAACGTCAGCCTCGAAACCTTAATGACTTGGAGAAGATCTGCAAAGAGGAGTGGGACAAAATCCCTCCTGAGATGTGTGCAAACCTGGTGGCCAACTACAAGAAACGTCTGACCTCTGTGATTGCCAACAAGGGTTTTGCCACCAAGTACTAAGTCATGTTTTGCAGAGGGGTCAAATACTTATTTCCCTCATTAAAATGCAAATCAATTTATATTTTTTTTTACATTTGTAGACAGACAAACAAGCTAACAAACATGTTATTGGCACGCAACGAACTGAACTCTCCATCTTTATCAATCAAACTTAATGTTCATTCAGTTTATTTAACCTGGGGGTATCTGTTTGCTATTCTTTATGTGTTTAAGACACAAATAGAGGGCAGCCACAGGCTATTGGGTGCGTTCAAGGAGAAGGGTTATCTGCAGCCACATTGTTTGTGAGGCCCTGCTCATACGGTTGAATTGCAAGGTCAAGCACACTTTCTGCAGATCATAGTTTCTAAGAGGATGGATAAAAACATTGGAAAACAGAGGTTAACAAAGGTGCACCTGGGTAACAGTGAGTAAGGTCATACAAAGGCAAATGGCAACCCATTCCCTACATAGTGCACTACCTTTGAACAGAGCCCTATGGGGAACACACTACACAGTCCAAGACCGCAGAGTCATAAGAGAGGGAATACGCAGGGGAAGGGCTAAAGAGGAATGAGGAAATTATTCTCTGCTCTGAGGAATAGGGTGCCATTTGGGTCACAGAAAGTCTGTCTGAGAGAAGTGGTGCAAAGAGATCCACCCTAGCAGAATCATGTTTTTCCTGTTCCCAAGCAGCAGTGAGAGCACACCTATTTGACATCACAAAGTCATAGGTGACAGAGATAGAGGCACAGACATCATTATCATCCATGCCGCAACAGGTGTAAGAGCATGAACATGCATGAGAGAGAAGTGTAAGGGGAGAGACTCAAAGAGAGGGAAAGACTGAAAGCATGACAACGGTAAGGTCCTACATTGACTTTGGGGCAAACATTCTGTTTTGATGGGGCAACATACAAATTAGCATTAAGGCACATCTAATTGAGGGTGTAATCCAGGGTTCTTCAATTTCGGTCCTGGAGGGCCGAAACACTTCTGTTTTTTATTTCTACCTGGTAGTTAATTGCACTCACCTGGTGTCCCAGGTCTGAATTAGCCCCTGATTAGAAGGAGAGGATGAAAAACAGAGGTGTTTCGGCCCTCCAGGACCGGAATTGAAGAACCCTGGTGTAATCCATAACCTAACCCGTTTTCTCTGGCCTTACAAACAACAGTGGCTTTTAGAGGCTAATATGAAATTCAAATCTAATGAAACAATAAAAGGATTGTAAAATAATGTAAAATGGTTTAGATTATGAAGATGTAAGCCACTACAATATGCCAACCTCATGTACAGCCAAAACCTGCCAAAACCTCCAGTCCAAGACAGCCAAAACCTGCAGTGCAAAAATACCTATGACGTGCAGAGTTGCATAATTTAAATGCCATAGACACAAAAGAAGATGATGGTCCCATAAAGGCTAAAGAAAGAAACAACAGGTCAAACCAGTGATATATTCATTAGATGATCGAAAGGGTGTCTTTGACAGATTTGACAATTTGCACATTAAAAGCAGGCTTTTCAACATAATATGCAGTCAGAGAGACACAGTAGTGGTTAGTTATAGAAAACAAACAATCTTTCCATCTAAAGACAAGTCAGTAACAGAAATGTTTAGCAAGATTTGTTTTGGGTGTCATGTTACTGATAGTCTGACAGTGGTGATGGCCAAAGTCAAGTGCTTTTGAGAGACAGAAACTCTCAGGGCCGGTTTCCCAGACCCAGATAACTTTTAATATCCTTCCTAGTCCAGGAGTAGGCTTAATGTGGGTCTGCCAGGAAAACAGCCTTCAGTTACTCTCAACAAACTGTCTGCCAACATTAAAATAAAATAAATATCGCCCTACCATTTCCAAGAACTAAAAGGGAATGTTGTGAAAATGATATGGTCAGATATCCTTTTCATTGTTTGGTTGTTGTGTCATCATTAAAACAGCGCCAACTTTCAGTGTGAAACTAAAGCCTTAACCCAACACCATGGCTAACAGTATTTGTCATTGCTCATAGTTAGATGTATCTTGTATTTCTGAGTCTTGGATGTTCCTTACACAGTAGACTTGATATCAGGGGGAAAGTGCAACATTTCAAAACAAAGCTCTCACTGAAGATTTTCCATGTAAAAAGACATGCGAGAGTTTGATGTAGTGGTTTCCCATCATTCTGCCCCCAGCCTCATATACCCCCCAGGAAGTCATTCTTGGTCAAGTCGTCCACGGCCATCGGGTCCTATGACCTCCCATCCTTACAGGTGGATTCATACAACCAAGAGGAAAACGCATCAACAGTAATGATGATGCCAGAAGGAAAATTGCCCATTTCTCAAATGCTTCTTTGACAGTGTTAACGATTTTTGAATTGTGTTTGATAGAATTATAGGGACAATGGAAGCCCATGTAATAGCCAGACACCAAGGGCTACAAGGTCAAGGAGCCAGTCTCCCTTTCGGCCAAACTTTGGGACTGCTAGTGACCGACGGCCTCAGATGTCAGAGCCCCAGGTGAGTAGTAGCCAAGTGAGATCAAATACAGGACAGCACTAACCTCTTCCCCAGGCTCAATTGCTATGACAGCACTAAAAGGTATGATTTATAGACATGAAGAATTGCACCTTAGACCTGGGTTTCAAAACTCTGGTTGGTCACAATAGCTACATTATCATTTCATTAATCCTAATCGGCTGTAACAGTAAAGTACTTATTATTCATGTAATAATAATAACAATGATAATTTGGGGGGGGGGGGGGGGTTCTTATATTTGTCCTGATACACAAAAGTGTGTAATGGAAATGTATAATTTTTTTGGCATATCCCATCTTCCCCTGAGACCCGCAAGGGAGTGGGGTCACCATTGTACAGCGCCCCTGGAGCAATTAGGGTTTAGTGCCTTGCTCAAAGGCACTGCGACAGATTTTTTTGTTGGCTCCGGTATTCAAACCAGCAACCTTTCAGTTACTGGCCCAACGCTCTATGACACCACAACAGTCTATATAACGTTTAACTACACATAATCGTGACTTTGTGATTTGTATCTCAGCTAAGTCTAACAGGAAGAAGCCAATCTGTGTACCAAATCAAGACTCAGCCGACATTACCCCGGTGTATGTCCCACTCAGAGCCCCTGGACAAGAGACAGAACCCAGGCCTCCCAGGCCTCTCCCCAAGCTACGGCAATGTGATGGATACCCAGGTGAGTCGACAACACTCTCTCTTCTCTTGTGTTTCATTATATCTAGGTTCTTCTAATCAGTTTTCCTGTCAGAACCAGCATAGGAGATGCACGCACTGCTGTGCAGAGGCTGGGGCCTCTTCCTCTTTTCCCCCCTCTCATTCTTCCCTTTCTAGTCTCTCTCACTGTCTTTTGCAGTTAATGTTCCAATTATTGTTGCTAAATGATTAATGAACTGTTTTGACAGACCTCCAACCAGACTGGCTCCCCAACGGACTATCAGAGCCCCCGTCCTGTTCGCTGCCCTCCAGTTCCTCCCAAGACTTATGGCACTCTTCTGAGCCCCTCTCCAACTGCAAGCGGGGACTATGACAATGTTGATAGATCTAAACTCGGAATGACTGAGAAGGTAAACCAAGAGAACCACTGAATAAGCCAGCATATAGTGTATACAGTAAGATAGGTTGAATAAAACAAATCAACCCTCTACTTTTCTCTGTGGTTTAACACAGGCCTTAGACATGTATGGCAAAAATAAGCCCTCCCCTCCTCCTCTCCCATGTCCTGTGAGACCCCCTCGGTCCCCCATGATATCCTGCTCCTCTTCAGCCTCTTCAGAGTATGAGAGGACGCTACCTGGAATGCACCTACTACAACCTCAGGTGAGAGAGAGTTGTTCATATTCATTGCAATTAAGAAAAGACCTCAACATTCACTGTTTAATCAGTATAACTTTAGTTTCTGTCAATAAGATATCTTTGCTTTCTTTGTATTGGTATAGGATTCCATCGAACGAAAGTGCAGTCAGTCCCATCGCCCTGTTCGACCCCCAGCCCCACCCAAATCTAAACTCCTATCCTTGTATGGGGGCTATGACGTCAAAAGAGCCCAGAGTCCGAGGGTAAGCACCACTCAATATCAGCATCACTCTGGAGTTACTTTTTAGGCCCTTGTATCAAGTCACTACTAACATCGCCTCTGGGGTTTTTCATGTTCAACAGCCCTCAGACACAGACAATGAGAGGTCGCCTCACCCTTCACGGCCCCCACCACGGCCGGGAGGGCCCCCCTCCCACACCCTGTCCCATTCCCCCTCAGGAATTGAAACAACAGCCACACAACTTCAACCACTGCTGCAGGTGAGAGCCGTACATACCCGTCCCCAACTGGGGCTGACAGAAGCACAAACACAGCTCACGACTATACATACACACATGGTGCCGTTCAAAGGATATAGTATAACATTTATTTACTGTGTATGCTTTCATTGCTTTCATCTGAGGTGAAACGGATGCTGTATGTGTGTGATAAGAGACAGGGAAGTGTTCAGTGAAATGTAACTCTATTTATGTTCCTTACTTCCTGAAACTCAAAAGTCCCCTTATGGTTATGAAATGTACTTGTGTCTTGTTGATTTGTTGTTATTGTTCACGTGGAAACATTTGTTTTTGGAACACTTCACTTGTGACATTTCATAAGTGAAATCATGTGCAAGTGAAAACGTGTTTTTAGAACATTTCACATGAGATCACATTTTCACATGTGCTTACATGTTGTCACGTGTTTAGTTTCATGTTATTACATGTCGCTTTACATGTTGTCACATTAACTTAACTTAAACACATGTGATCACGTGAAATTCATGTGGTTTTTCCGTAAGGGGTGAGGACCAAGTTAGGATGTTCTCAAGACATTTGTTTTACCAGTCGTCAGGACGTGACGTGATGGTCCCAAACCATTATAATAAAGTAATGGTGGTTTTAAAGTAAGTGGTACGCTGTTCAGCTGAAATAGGATCCCACATGGGATTTGAACTCACAACCTCTAGATTTGAGGTGCGCTGATCTTTCTGCTGCGCCACAAAGTCTTTAGCATTACCCTTCACATTCATTACCTATAATACCTCTCTGCACTTAGCAAAAGAGTGCCATTGTCAAAGTGCGACGTGAATGCGGTAGGCGAAGTCAAACGCAGGACACCGAGCTACTGGAAACGTACTTTTACTAACAAAGTAACCAGAGTACAAAACAACCTCCAAACAGGGAGGAGAATACCTGCACAATAGCAACTGCCGAAAATGACGAGAACAATCACACACAACACACAATGAACGACAGAGGGTTATATAGGGAATACAATACAACATAATAGGAAACAGGTGTACACAATCAAGACAAAACAAGTCAAACACAGAAACATAGATCGGTGGCAGCTAGTACTCCGGGGACGACGAACGCCGAAGCCTGCCCGAGCAAGGAGGAGGAGCAGCCTCGGCTGATTCCGTGACAGCCATCTGCACTGCTATTTTAGGTTATCAGTTAATCTGACTATTCTCTCATCATTGATTTCATTTATTTATCTCAACAATTTGAGGGTTTTCTGTATAGTTGTCTAATGTTGGTGGGGCATATTATTCTGTTTTAATGTTACTCCTGAATCATTATGATAAATATAATCGTTTTTATTGAGTGTATTATACAAAGCTGAGATTTACTTAGAAATCCAAAGTGTAGGAATACAGGTGAAATAAGTTATTGACACAGACGTGGTGGAGTAGCAGGAAGATCAGAATGATGTGAACTAAGAGGTTATGAGTTCAAATCCCAGGTGAGGACATGCTGAATAATAATTACAGAAAAATATTAAATTGCATGCACTCAGTACTGTAAGTTGCTCTGGATAAAAGTGACTGCCAAATGACTAAAATGTAAATTAACATACACAATGTGTGTCAAAGATGTAAGTTGAAAACTATGTTAAAAGCACTCTGTGTGTATCATAATGATTCATGTTTGTTTTCACAAAAATGAGATTTTCCACATGTGAAATCATGTGGTTTTTCCGTAAGGGAAGGCTATGATACTGTGTCAGATATTGAAGTTGCAGCAATAGAGTTGCTTGTGTCTGTAAAACAAAACAAAATTCATTCCATAGCCCACCAACGCAAAAGGAAGCTCTCTGCCTGCTCTTCCTCAACTCCCACCCCCACCCTCGTTCACCCCCCCACCACCACCTGTAAATAGACCATCCCTGTCGTATCGACCTACCACCATCTTCCACTCAGAGTCAGTCTACAGCGAGATCAGCGAGGTTCAGGACCAATTACCTTATCTGGAAGTACTGCCTGATGAGAACACATTCCAGGTGGGACACACACACACACACACACAAACTCACACATTCAAGCATGCACACACACACACAACACAAATGCATGAACACACTTGCGTGCCACTGAGTTTAAAAAAACAAATTACCAATGGTTTTTGAATCTCTATCATTTCAGTTCAAACCATCTAGCAGAGTCTACAAAACACAGGCAGCACCACCGTTCCAACCTGGTCAACGTTATCAGAACTGTGGATTCAATAAGGAAACAGAGGTACAGAGTGATGTCTGATATGATTGATTTGTATTGTAAGGATTGGGGGAATTTTGTCTCCTTATTTTTTCCCGGTGTATGTAGTTTGTCCTATACTCAGTGCCTAAGCCAGAGCCAGGCTTCACATGAGGTTTTCCCTCTTTCTGTTGCTGTTCACCTGCATTATTAGATTATCCATCAGTTCAATTTGATCTAAAAACCTATTTGTACCTATTTTTGTTTTTCAGCAGGAATTTGAAAATCTAATGAGATGGATGAAGACAGTGGGATGTGAGGTACACATTATTACGACAGATGTATATCGTATTATTTGACACTACATTACATTGTATTTAATTCATTTTTAATGATGAAAGACCGTGCAACTGTTCTTCTGTAATTGTTGTACTGCTCTCAGCTGTTATGATTCAATAGATGACCATTGATTACTGAGGGATAATATACTTGGTTTGTATTTGTGTATGTGTTTCTCTTTCAGGCTGGGAAAACATGCCTCCTTCATTGTATGGCCTCAGTCTAGAGGATGAAACCAGGTGAGACCTGACTAACCTCTTACTGTACACATGTGGTTAATACACAATTTCAAGGATAGAGCTTTGATCTTACAACTTATACAGGCATGCATACCATTTAATCAGTACCCTGTCTCTTATTGAATCTGTCTTTCCATCCCACCAGGGAGTTCAGCCAGAGGTGCCTCCATGTGAAAAATGGCCTCCATCTGTTCAACTGCCTGCTAATGAAGCGTAACGATACCCTGCGAGGCCACATCACAGAGCTCAACGACCTCGCCGAGAAGCTGGACAAAGTACAGAAAACCAAAACCATGGGCATCGCAGGGGGCACCACGGGCGCCGTGGGAGGGGCGGTGGCTGTTGTGGGCATTGTCCTCGCCCCCATGACCATGGGTGCCTCCCTCATAGCCACGGCAGTTGGGGCGGGCATGGTGGCTTCAGGTAGTGGGATGGGAATCAAAGCGGCCATGGACAACAACAAACGCAACTCTGTGGACAGGAAGAGGCTGGAGGAGGTGGTGCAGAAGTACAAAGCCGAGATAGCAGACGTGGTGTGGTCTCTTTGCTTCATCCACAGTGGGATGGCTGAGCTGAGGCAGTACAACCTCCACAGGCTCCAGCATGCTGATCCTGAGGCCCTGCGGATAGCCAGGGTGGCAGGGGCAGTGCATCCTGGGTGTAATAAGTCCCAACAGTTGGGCATGAAGTCTGAGATGATCCTGCAAGGGTTTGCCAGAGACATGGACCTGTATTATACTGACAAGGATGGCCAGAGGCTGAAAAAGGGCTCTGAGACTAAGTTTGCCACCAGGATCCGTGGTGTGACCCAGGAGCTACAGGAGGAGCTCAATGAACTGCACCAAGTGTGGCAGACTTTCTCACTAGCGGCCAGTAGATTTTGAGGTGTGTGTGTGTGTGTGCCGTCGTTAATGCAGTAAAGGTCTGGCAATGTTTTGGACACATGCCAGATATTGTTGTTGTGGGGGAGGCCGGAGGGAGGTGCTCATTTTGGAAGTGTCACGCCCTGGCTCTGGGACTCTTATATGTTGAGCCAGGGTGTGTAGATTCTATGTGTTTGTGTTTCTATGTTAGGATCTAGTTCATGTGTATCTATGTTGGCCGGGGTGGTTCTCAATCAGAGGCAACGAGAATCAGCTGTTGCTTGTTGTCTCTGATTGGGAACCATACTTAGGCAGCCTGTTTGGCACAGTGTATTGTGGGATCTTGTTTGTGTTTTGTTACCAAGGACTTCACGTATCGTTTTGTTGTTTTGTTCGTGTGGTGAATAATTAATAAAGTATGTTCGCATTCCACGCTGCGCATTGGTCCAATCCTTTCGACGATCGTGAAAGGAAGTGGGTTGCCCTATTGAAGCCTACATGAAGCCAGCCTTTGTTGACAAGTTGCTGAAATGTCATCTCCCGTGAACAGCCTTGGTTATCAGTGCAAACTTGTAGTGCTAATATTTGGGAGTCTCAGACATGTACATAGGCTGACAGTACGCAGGCCAGCATAGGACAAAGGCAAAGCAGCGGTACTGCTCTGTGTCAGCTGTTATGGGCAGCCTTGCTGCATGGAGAAGAAGGTGCTTTCTGTATCCAAAAGTCTCCATATATCCATGAACTTTGAAATGTTTGAATCCTCTCAACTGTAATGCGATTTGTGGATTCAAATAAAGTATTTCAAATGTTAGAGTATGAATGTGAAATGTTTTACTATGCAGTGTGTACTGCTGAGAATATCCACAGGACATTTTATCTAGATCCTATTTGTGAATTATCTGAATACTAAAAAGGATGTGCAATAAACTTAATAGAAAAGTTATTGGCTTACATAAATTATTTGTTATGTGATTAGTATAATGCATCATAGGATGATTTCTAAAACTGGCCCCTGTTAACCCCCAATGTGTGGAATGATACGGTTTCCACTAGCTTCTAAATTATAAACACAAAATCTGATTCCACAGCCACAAAGTCAGATTCCACAGCCACCAAGTCAAAATTGCCTTTTTTTTTGTGCTTTTGATCTTAATTTAAATGTAGGGGTTAGGCATAAGGTTAGCAGTATGGTTAGGTTTAATATCACATTTGAAGAAGATAATTTGTAGAAATGGGTGAGGTTTATGACTTGGTGGCTAAAGCAGCTAGTGAGGGCCTGTGGAAGTATATCCTAGGTCTAGATCAACGATGTATATAAACCCTTGATTTCAAATGCTATGTATTGGCCATTTAGAAGCTTTGAAGCCACTGCTCGGCCATATTGGCACTCCCCAGTAGGATCAGTGGAATTCTATTTCAATTCGATGTTTCATGGACACAATTACATGTATTGAAATGTTTTTTTGTTGTAGTGGGGCCAGTAACATTAGTAATCTATAAAAATGTGACTAAGGAAAATGTTATATGTATTTTTTTGCTTTTTATTTTTATATTTATCTCACATAATATAATTTAAAAGTATGCATTAAAGTGTCTGTAATAAAATAAACGTGAACAAAAGTGAATGTAGACATTAACAAATGATTTTCTATAGCTTCCAAAATATGTTTTACAACGGTGGAGGGGTGCCAAGATGGAGGCACGGTGGCTTCAACACAGCGCCCCTTATAAGTAATCTAGTGTGTATATGTAAATCATTGGTCTTTTTGCAAGTTGTATATTATGCTGGGGATCAGAAATGTCCCGTGCGAGAGAGGCAGGTTGAGGTTTCCAGGGTTAGAGTAGTGCAGAAGTTGTCATATGCTGAGGCAGTGAAGAAAGTGGAGGAAGATGGGTCAAGGGGGAGGGGTCCTGAGAGGAGTGGTGTGAGTAGTAGATCTGTACCAGTACAGAAGGATAGGCCAAAAAGTGATATATGCTTCAGTAAGATTGTATTTTTAGCATTTATAGCAATGGTTATGTTGGGTTCTATTTTTCTCATAATTGGATCTGTATGTGATGAATAACTTAGAAGGAATGCATTAATGATAAGCATGGGTTTGTACTATACTGATATAAATTGTTTCACATAACAGGCTGTGATTCATGTAAGGAACGTTAGGGGGTAGGACAGATAAGACTTGTATTTCTTACAGATACGAACACTCTCTCTTTGTTGTCTGTGAAACCGTCCTTGAACGTAGGTACATAGAGTACAGATTGGAAGGGTGTCTTTTGGGTGCTGACTCTACAGGTTATTATGATAGCAACTTATGCCTGGGAACGGTGGAGCGCCAAGGGGTGGAGCGCCAAGGGGTTGGGACTAACCCGTGCGCCAACGGATTGGCTGAGTAAAGTCTAAACCACACTCAGTCCTTTACTCTGATTGGCCAACAGAAGAGGTGGGAACTCTCTGTCAGAGTATTTGAGAAAGAACCTGTAAACAATGGTTTAGTTCTCTGTCTGCCCTGCGTGGTATTTCAGTGAGCCCGTATACGAACCAACATACTTATCATACATACATTTTGCATATAATAAATTTAGCTTGGATTTAATATCTCTTGATTATGTTTTCTCTTATTCCAATACCAGATTTGAATTACGCAATTTCTAACAGTTATCAACTGTACTGCAGGGATGGAATGTAAATCGCAGAAAATTGAGGTTGTGGTGGCAGCTGCAGAGAGGTATTTGGATGTGGGAGACTCAACATCAGAAGAGTTACAGGGTGTGTTAAGTGATGGTGTCCCATCCTTTCAGGTTGTTGGCCTGAGATAGGACTAAATACATTTAAATAGTGGAGTAGGGTGGTGTTCTTTAAAATATATATATATTTATATATTTTTTTCAAGCAAGGTATAAGGGAGTTGTACTCCAGTCTAGTAGGTGGCGGTAATGCAACATTTATTGGATGCCAACCGCCGTTAAACCTCATCAAAGAAGAGTGGTATATTACTCAACATGCGCCATTTTCAACCAGCACCCAACGACATTCAACTGACACCGCTCTCTTGGGCGAAATGGCAGTTTAACGGCTTGCGGCGGTCCTAGCAGCAGCAAATCCAACAGTGCATCAACCCAGTGCACTGCTTCAACTTCATATTTGTTAAAATGACGTAAGTATATATTTGTTAACGATTTTATTTGTAAGCAAGTGGCTAGCTAACGTGAATCCGTGACAGCTCAATGACGTCAATGAGCTCTAGCCTCAATTTGTGAAGCTATTAGTTAATTGCCTGCTTATGTTGTGTAGCGAAGTATTTTATAAATACATATAGTATAACTTGCCGTAAGGTTGCCATTCGCCAGACAAATCCTTGGAATGACATTGGATACAGACGTCACGAGTCAGATCAGAGAATGTTACATTATCTCTTTCGGGCAAAATGGTCAGTGAGCTGTTAACGTTACATAATAATAGCGCGCGATATTGTCACCAAATAAAAAATAAATAAAAAGGTGCTAAGATTTTATGTAGTTTTCCAGGAATGCCAACGTGGCAAACAAAATGGTTCGTGATCTTTTTCGAACAAAATGGCGATATAATCAGTGTTTTAAGGCGGGAGGGTGAACACAAGTGTGGCTGTTGGGGTTTGGGAGGCGGAAGCAACAATCTCATTCGCTAGACACACTTCCATTCTGACGATGGTTGCTGTGGAAACTGACTGACCTCATTTGGCGCGTGTGCGAGTCACAAGACAAAGGCAGGGAGGGTATTCAGTGCCAGTGCAAGGAGGTGTGTTGTGAAATGGTAGGGGCAGTGTCGTGCACAAAATACATTACAGATAAACACAAGTTCAGACTTAATGTTTTTCCCACCCAATTAAAAATGTGTGCTGCCAAATATGACATTACTCAATCGCAACATAACACCGCCGACCATGACATAATATAGAATCAACATAAAGGAGAAAAATACCATTTTTTGCCAACATTATGAGCTATGGTTTACGTTATTACATGAACTCACCGTGTCTTCTGGTGTCTCTTTCCCAGGTCCCTTGTGGAAACCCTCAGCACTGCTGTAGTTGACAGCATAAAAGAACCGCTAGACCTCTTACTGCTGTACCTACCGTCTCAGATCCTAGTGACTGAACAACAGAGCTATGACCATGATGAGCTCACAGTTTGGCCTGGACGATATGGAGGCCCTACTCTGGGGGCCTTCCTCTCTCATGGCTGACCCCATGGGGTCACTGCTCCACCAAGATGAAGTTACCTCGATAGAGGGGGGGGCTTCGTCCCTCTCGTCATCTTCTCCTCTTCCCCTTCTCTCCCCTCCTCCCTCTCCGCCTTCGCTGCTCCTCCAGGAAGAGAAGGCGGAGGCAGACTTGCTGTCCTTCCCATGGCTATCTGCTGACGAGCTAGGCCACACCCATCACATTGGTGCAGATGATGGCAAAGGTGAGGACCACAACATACTGTCCTCCACACGTATGTTCATGCTGGTCGACAGTGTGCAGAAATCCATAGCAATTTATATTTTATTCCCATGATCAGTTTTTTTGCAGTATAGAAAAGGTAATAGGTTTTATCATGAATATAAAAACTTAGACTTCCACTTTGACATTTTATGATCACAAATTGTAAATCGAGTATTTGTATTTTCATATTACTTTAGATATTGAGTAGTTGATTAACCTCCTTTTGTCCTCCGCAGAGGATGCCTTTTCTGGCATGGACTGGATGGCCGAGAGGGTCGACCTGAGTGAGTTTGACCTGGACTCCATTATAGGTTCCCTCAGCCCAGACGGTTCCCCCAGCTCCCCTGAAGACCTCATCGCTTCCTTTGAGTGTCCCATGGAGCTGGACTCACTCCCCCTCCCTACTCTCATGGACCTCCCCACCACCACTGATCCAATCCTCCCCCCAACCGTCTCACAGCCCCAGGAAGACCCTCAGGAGGAGGTCCATTCACCTCCCCCCTGCGTACCCGATGCCCAGGAGGAGCTAGAGATCAAATCGGAGCCCCAGTCCCCAGCCCCCTCTCCTCCATCTCCCTCCTTCACCTTAGACGTGGGCAGTGAGGTGGATGTCTCGGCGAACGTCAGCGAGCTTCTCCTTGATGTTCCCCAGCCAGTCCCCAGCGTCGTGCTGTCTCTCTTCCCGACCCGCATCGTCCTCCTCCTGGCCCCTAAACAGGAGGTCGGCGTCACAACCACCACCGTCACCATCCCACAGATCCTCTCCTCTGACAGTGACAGCAGCTTCAGCTCCTCCGATCAGCTCAACCGGCCCTCCATCGCCACAGCTCAGTCAAGGTCCCAAACCAGGAGCAAACCGTACCCAACAACCCCCAAGTCTAGGCCACAACATCCAGACCATCCATCTCCCACCACTACATCGAGTGGGATAATGAAGTCCTCCACTGGAGGACCCCCGAAGGAGAAGCTCAAGAAGATGGCGCAGAACAAGACGGCGGCCACGCGCTACCGCCAGAAGAAGAAGACTGAGCAGGAGGTCCTGAGTGCGGAGTGCGACGAGCTGGAGCAAAGGAACCACAAGCTGGTGGAGAAGGCAGACTCCATTGCCAATGAGATCCAGTACCTCAAGGACCTCATAGAGGAGGTGCGCCATGCGAAGAGCAGAAGGGCCTCGGCGACCTCTAACCGTAGTGTGTAACCCACCAAGTATCCCACTATCTAAGATCTATAATGCTTTTCGAAATGCATGTATTGTATTGAGACTCCCAAAGCCCAAGTTTTATTGACCTTTGACCTTCCTGCGTGTCTATTCCTTTAAGAGTTTTTAAAGAGACTATTGTTCTTGTAGCTTGAGCTTTTGATGTAATCCCTGATCTCTTGTATGAAAACCTTAAGTATTTTCCGAACAGTAAAACAGTATATTGACTCATGTAATTCGTCTGATCTTTTCTAGTCTTTGTCATTGTTTATTCTTATCAATAGATGTGTCTATATTGCTGTAGAAGTATGTAGTCTTAAATAGGTTTAGAAGCCTCTTCATATGTATTTTTACTGTAGTCTGAATCGTATCTAAATGTATTCCTTTCATTATCTATTAAAAAGTCAAATCCATTTGGTTTTGTGCTATTCATTTAGTAAACTCTGGGAATGGGAATATACAGTGATCATAATACAGTGAAGATAAAGTATATTATTGGGGACTATTTTGACATTTTACTGAATCTCTCTCAAATAAGTATTGAGATTTCGAAATAGCCCTCTGCTTGCTTTTTCATTTAGCTAACACAGGTGTGAATTTGTTTCGGTGTTCGCAAGTGCAGAGGCCAGTTGTTTAAATCTAGCCCAGATTTGACCTGCTCCAGTGCCCTCATGAGTCATCCGAAAGCCGGTTCCATGGAGGAACATTATCAGTATGTTCTGGCCCAAAATAAACCCTTTACCCAGATAAGGGTCAGGTTAAACAACCCTTGTGTGCACTCCCAACATTAGCATGAGACATTACAATAAGCCTGTGGTGGTTCTTTCTAGAGAGAAAACAAGTAATATGTTCTAAATTGCACCCTATCCCCTATATAGTTCATTTATTTTGACCAGAGCCCTATGGGTCCTGGTCAAAAGTAGTTCACTGTATAGGGAATAGGGTGCCATTTGAGACTCACAAAAGGAGAAGATAATAGGGCAAGCCTGACTGGCATGCTGTAGTACACGAGTGTCTAATCAACTGACAGTCATGTGAACTCTCCAAACTGTCTGTTTCCTCATCTTAGTTCTAGTTCGTTGTGGGATACCATAGGAATCAGGATACATCCAAGTTCCAACTCCTCATTTTGTATTTTCTGATCATCCATGGTTGGACACAGTTTACAGCTACCTCACTGACCTGCTCTGTATATTCTAAGACCACTGATAATCTCCCTAGATCTGGGGCTCCACGCAAGATCTCACCCCGTGGGGTCAAAATTATCACAAGAACGGTGAGCAAAAATTCCAGAACCACACGGGGGGACCTAGTGAATGACCTGCAGAGAGCTGGGACCAAAGTAACAAAGCCTACCATCAGTAATACACTATGCCGCCAGGGACTCAAATCCTGCAGTGCCAGACATGTCCCCCTGCTTAAGCCAGTACATGTCCAGGCCCGTCTGAAGTTTGCTAGAGTGCATTTGGATGATCCAGAAGGGGATTGGGAGAATGTCATATGGTCAGATGAAACCAAAATAGAACTTTTTGGTAAAAACTCAACTCGTCGTGTTTGGAGGACAAAGAATGCTGAGTTGCATCCAAAGAACTCCATACCTACTGTGAAGCATGGGGGTGGAAACATCATGCTTTGGGGCTGTTTTTCTGCAAAGGGACCAGGACGACTGATCCGTGTAAAGGAAAGAATGAATGGGGCCATGTATCGTGAGATTTTGAGTGAAAACCTCCTTCCATCAGCAAGGGCATTGAAGATGAAACGTGGCTGGGTCTTTCAGCATGACAATGATCCCAAACACACCGCCCGGGCAACGAAGGAGTGGCTTCGTAAGAAGCATTTCAAGGTCCTGGAGTGGCCTAGCCAGTCTCCAGATCTCAACCCCATAGAAAATGCACCCTATCCCCTATATCGTTCATTTATTGTGGTCCTCTGTAGCTCAGCTGGTAGAGCACGGCGCTTGTAACGCCAAGGTAGTGGGTTCGATCCCCGGGACCACCCATACACAAAAATGTATGCACGCATGACTGTAAGTCGCTTTGGATAAAAGCGTCTGCTAAATGGCTTATTATTATTATTATTATTATTATTATTATTATTATTATTAAAATCTTTGGAGGGAGTTGAAAGTCCGTGTTGCCCAGCGACAGCCCCAAAACATCACTGCTCTAGAGGAGATCTGCATGGAGGAATGGGCCAAAATACCAGTAACAGTGTGTGAAAACGTTGTGAAGACCTACAGAAAACAAAGGGTATATAACAAACTATTGAGAAACTTTTGTTATTGAACAAATACTTATTTTCTACCATAATTTGCTAATTAATTAATTAAAAATCCTACAATGTGATTTTCTGGATTTTTTTTTCTCATTTTGTCTGTCATAGTTGACGTGTACCTATGATGAAAATTACAGGCCTCTCTCATCTTTTTAAGTGGGAGAACTTGCACAATTGGTGGCTGACTAAATGCTTTTTCCCCCCACTGTAGACCTACAAAATATATTTTAATGGTATTGCAAAAAGCTGTGAATGTTTGTTAAACACAGTTCAGTGGCATAAGCTCTTCACTTATTTAACATCTGAGAAAGGATAGAAAAATATATGATTTCCTTGATTCATTCCTAATAACTTGGTACAGTGAGGGAAAAAAGTATTTGATCCCCTGCTGATTTTGTAGGTTTGCCCACTGACAAAGACATGATCAGTCTATAATTTTAATGGTAGGTTTATTTGAACAGTTAGAGACAGAATAACAACAAAAGAGTGTGCTTGACCTTGCAATTCAACCGTATGAGCAGGGCCTCACAAACAATGTGGCTGCAGACAACCCTTCTCCTTGAACGCACCCAATAGCCTGTGGCAGCCCTCTATTTGTGTCTTAAACACATAAAGAATAGCAAACAGATACCCCCAGGTTAAATAAACTGAATGAACATGAAATTTGATTGATAAAGATGGAGAGTTCAGTTCGTTGCGTGCCAATAACATGTTTGTTAGCTTGTTTGTCTGTCTACAAATGTAATTTTTTTTATAAATGTATTTGCATTTTAATGAGGGAAATAAGTATTTGACCCCTCTGCAAAACATGACTTAGTACTTGGTGGCTAAACCCTTGTTGGCAATCACAGAGGTCAGACGTTTCTTGTAGTTGGCCACCAGGTTTGCACACATCTCAGAAGGGATTTTGTTCCACTCCTCTTTGCAGACCTTCTCCAAGTCATTAAGGTTTCGAGGCTGACGTTTGGCAACTCGAACCTTCAGCTCCCTCCACAGATTTTCTATGGGATTAAGGTCTGGAGACTGGCTAGGCCACTCCAGGACCTTAATGTGCTTCTTCTTGAGCCACTCCTTTGTTGCCTTTGCCGTGTGTCATTGTCATGCTGGAATACCCATCCACAACCCATTTTCAATGCCCTGGCTGAGGGAAGGAGGTTCTCACCCAAGATTTGACGGTACATGGCCCCGTCCATCGTCCCTTTAATGCGGTGAAGTTGTCCTGTCCCCTTAGCAGAAAAACACCCCCAAAGCATAATGTTTCCACCTCCATGTTTGACGGTGGGGATGGTGTTCTTGGGGTCATAGGCAGCATTCCTCCTCCTCCAAACACGGCGAGTTGAGTTGATGCCAAAGAGCTCGATTTTGGTCTCATCTGACCACAACACTTTCACCCAATTCTCCTCTGAATCATTCAGATGTTCATTGGCAAACATCAGACGGCCCTGTATATGTGCTTTCTTGAGCAGGGGGACCTTGCGGGCGCTGCAGGATTTCAGTCCTTGTCACGTTCGTTGTATAAAGGATCGGACCAAGGTGCAGCGTGGTATGCGTACATAGTTGTTTATTCTAATACACACCGACAAAATAACAAAATCCAACAGAACGTCAAGTCAAACAGTAATAGAAACAAGATCCCACAACATAGGTAGGCAAAATGGCTGCCTAAGTATGATCCCCAATCAGAGACAACGATCGACAGCTGCCTCTGATTGGGAACCAATCTCTCAGTCCTCCCACGATGCACCAAGCCCTGTCTGGACCCTGGTGTGGGAGGCCCCGACCCTGGAGAGGGGCTGACGTCTGTGCCTGGACTGGCAATCCTCCCGTGATGCACCAGGTCCTGTCTGGACCCTGGTGTGGGAGGCCCTGACCCTGGAGAGGGGTTGACGTCTGGTTCTGGCTCTGCAGTCCTCCCGCGATGCACCAAGTCCTGTCTGGACCCTGGTGTGGGAGAGTAGACGACCGGACCCGGACTGGGCACCGGTGGAGCGGACTGCTCTGGCACTGGAGTAGAGCCGCTGACCGGAGCTGAACTGGATCCCGGTGGAGCGGACTGCTCTGGCTCTGGACTGGAGCAGCTGACCGGGGCTGGACTAGGCACCGGTGGAGCGGACTGCTCTGGCATTGGACTGGAGCAGCTGACCGGAGCTGGACTGGGCAACGGTGGAGCGGACTGCTCTGGCACTGGAGTGGAGCAGCTGACCGGAGCTAGACTAGGCACCGGTGGAGCGGATTGCTCTGACCCTGGACTGGACCGTACCAGGCTGGCGACACGCACCACTGGTTTAGTGCGAGGAGCAGGCACGGGCCGTACCGGGCTGGGGACACGCACCACTGGTTTGGTGCGAGGAGCAGGTACGGGGCGCACCGGGCTGGCGACATGCACCACTGGTTTGGTGCGAGGAGCAGGTACGGACCGTACAGGACTGGAGACACGCACCACTGGTTTGGTGCGAGGAGCAGGTACAGGGCGTACCGGGCTGGCGACACGCACCACTGGTTTGGTGCGTGGAGCAGGTACGGGCCGTACAGGACTGGAGACACGCACCACTGGTATGGTGCGAGGAGCAGGCATGGGCCGTACCAGTCTTTGAAGGCAAACTGGCGGCACAGTGCGTAAAGCCGGAGCATAGCCTGGTGCCTGCACGGTCACACGCTCCTCAAAGCGAGTGCGGGGAGTTGGCTTTACTAAACCTGGCTTCGCCAGCCTCTGCTCTAAGGCCAGAGCTCTCTGCTGCTGGAGGGTTAACTCCTCTCTCAGCTCCTCCTGTTGCCTGGCCAGCTCCTCTCTCTGTGCATCCACTGACTCCTTCTCCCTGTGGGCCTCCTGCAGTGCCTCCTTCTGAAGGGAGAGCTCCTGCTCCCTCTTCTCTATCAGCCCCCGTAAGGTGGTGGTCTCCTCTCTCAGAGTGCTGAGCTGCAGGTCTTTCAGGGCCTCCTGCTGCGTTGCCAACCACCCCGTGTGCCCCCCAAAAATGTATTCTTGGGGCTGCCTCTCGGGCTTCCTTAGCGGTCGGCACCGTCGGCGTCACCGTTGATCCTCTCCTGCCTGGGCTTCTTCCTTCGCCCAGGGTCCTTTACCGGCTAATATCTCCTCCCATGTCCAAAATGTCTTCCCCACCTGTGTCCAGGGTGTCTG